GCTGAAATAGGAAATATCTGAGTGTTGAATATTTTTTATTCAGGTCAGCGACGTCTAACTAACCATATTTACTACGTTATTACTTTTTATTTTTGTTGTGTTTTGCAAATTTTAGTTTTGATTACCGATCGTTGTATTATGGTTTATGTATACTCTTACTTAGTATTCTCACTGTTATTATTGTTATCGATTTAACAATTTTCTTGAGGATTTTCATTCGAAAAAACGTCAACGTATTAATACGTATATTTTAGCATTGATAGTTTTATGTAATCATCGAATACACTAGGTCATAATTTCTGTCAAAAATGACAAAACCATTTCAAAACTAGATATTCGAAATTTGAATATTTTTTATACAATTATACTTATTTAATATTGTACGTTGTATTGATGATAATAATAATGATGACCAACACATTATGCACAGCTCAAATTGTTTTACTGCGTACATATATTTAATAATATTCACTCGATTTTCTTTTTTAATAATATGACCTCTTCATATGCTCAAGCCCTGTGAATGTTGCAATATCTATAGCTCTGCATAATATAATAATTTAATCATTTCGGTATTGATTATGTTGCGCGTATCTTGGTATACATATAAACGTGCGTATAGTTATTCTGAAACGTCCCATTTTAAATAAAATATTTACAACATATTTCCGATAGAAGTATACGGTACTTTTAATGACCACTGAAGCGGTAATTTGTTCGTTTTTCAATAAACTGTGATGTAATTTGTAGCTTGTCTTATACTTAACATTTTAAAATTATACATTGTGATGAATTCTAAGTGTACTTCAAAGTGAATTTTTGTGTATTTCTTTTATACGAGCTATACGAGTTTCATCAAACTTTAATCTTCTTAAGTTCCTAATAAAAAACAATATTAATTAATATTTAAACAATTAGATAAGCTGTTTTATATTATAGAAATAATATTGTGTGTAATAAATACTGATATCGATCCTTTCATAATATGGTACAATATTGATTGTCTTGGTAAATTTGGATAAAAATTTATTCGGACCAGTAGGCGTTCACTATTACGATTTCTTAATACAATAGAAATTATAATATGGTTTAATGCATTGGGAACCATACAAATAACCTCTGGTTACAATTTATTTTGTTAAATCATATAAAATTTATAATTTTGGTGGTCATATATCTAAAAAAAATTTGTTGAACTATAAAGATCCTTTAATTTTTAATCCTTAGTTTGTAAAAAAAAAATATTTTCGTTAAATTTATGAAATATGTATGTAAAAATTCATAAACGCATAATATGCGATTTCTTATAAAAAATAACGAAATATACAAAATTATGCAATGAAAATTGTTGTATTTAAAATCTATGTATGGTGGATCAAATTTATATGAAACTAGAATTTCAATATACGCTTTTTAAATGAATATGCAAATGCTTATCGTTTTGAATAGCCTTGATAATTATATTTATATACATATATTATAAGGTAATAACAACTTTTTCAAATTTTTTAAGATAGTATTTTCTTTCCCTTTTGTTAATCCAGTATCGTATTTGTATATTTGTCTTGTGACCTGTTAAAAAGTTCTGGACACGCCTGTGATATAGTTATAATATGCATATCGTATGATAACTTTTATTACTATGCATTCATTATTGACTTTCAGATAAATATACAAACACCTATGACATCTGTAGACTGTTATAACTGGTATTCAGAGTACACTTCAGTTTTAACATGCATATTTAATACTTATGTCATGATACAATAACATTTAATGACTATTAACTAACCACTGTTCTTAATTTCATTAAAAAATCTACGTTTCACTTGGCCTACAGCAGGTTTTATAGCCTGTATAAGTTTTAATTTCAAAGTTAAGATATAATACTGTTGTTTTTTCTCACAAAATCGTTTATGCCGCATTATTTTAAAGTGAAAAATAATCTTTCACTTGTGGTATAGACACACAGGCACACAGCGCATAGATAGGTCAATGGCCAGTTGATGAACCTATACTAAAAACCCGTTTCTTGTAAGTTTTCGTAATACCTTAGTTTCGTTAAGTATAAAAACGACGATATTATACGGTTCAGTCAATTACAATATTGTTAAATGGCAAGTACCAGTTTATCATATGTTTATTGGAAATTTAACTTTTAGTAGTATTTTATTCCTGTTAAAAAAAATGATAAAACCTTTGTTATTATCGAAAAACCTAATACATGATATATATAAATAATACATAATGTGTTCCGTAATCAAAAAAATATAGATATTATTATAATGTTTTATTTATTAAATGTATGTTTAATCTTTCCTGTTGCCGAGTAGAGTGCGATAAATGTCTGTTCACGCGATCATAATATAATCCATATGATGAATTGGCCACTTGCTCTTGCTATTGAAAACTTGTTAGTAAAGTGTATTAAATGTTATTTTTAATTTGTTATAAGTTTTAGTCAAAACTGTACTAAATATATTTCGTCTTATATGTCTATATCTATTAGATATAGAATGTAGATGGTAGAGTGCCTGAGTGGTTCCATCTATCTTTAAATTTCTGATAATTAAGGTAGTATATAAGATTTTCAATTAGTTTTCTTGACTTACTGATTTTTGTGAGAAAATAATTTATTTAAAAATAGCTTATAGTTATTTAAACTATGCATAAAGTAAATATACAAATAACGGATTCCACACAAATGGTCTATAATGAATATACAATGTGTAATGTGTTATATTAATACATTTCTATTTGCTTAGAATTGTATTGCTAATAGTTTCGCCCGTCATATTTTCTAATTTAATATAAGTTTACATTTTTTTAAATAAGTTTTAAATAATTAATTAGCCTAAACCACAATTTATGCGATCATGTATACCATATACTATAACTAATATATTAATATTCGTAATGTATCTAATATACCATTAAAAGTATACCATTAAATATTATACGCTTTTTTTGAATAAAAAACGCTCATATATAGTCATTAAGTTAACAAAATAGATTTTGGACACCTGATTTATTTTAATAAATTAAGTAAATATTTGCAAAGGTGATTCTATGTAAATCTATATAAATGATAGTTAACTAAACACATTTTGACGTAGGAATACAAATTTAAACAGAATGTATTTCAGATATATTAACATTTTATATTGACTTTCAGTATGGTTATAAAACAGCGATTCTCAACCTGGGGTAATTACCTTCCAAGGGGTAAAATAGGATTTTTTGAGGGGTAGACTAGACTAATTTTTTTTTTATGTATTTATTTTATTATGAATAACTTCTGATTGTTTTTATCTTCAAATTATATTTTACAGTGTACTCTCGATTATCTTCTGCGAAACGAACTATTTTTACATAAATAAAAACGAAAAATAAAATAATTAAATGATTCTTTACATGATCCATGTATCCATTATTGCGGTTCCATATCGGTCTTAAATTGGGTTACGATAACCGATAACCCGATAACGCGGATTGAAAAGTTAGGCTGGCTCACGTGCTTTTTTAGCAGGTAGAGTATTTAATAATAATAGTTATTAATTAATTTACTAATATTTTACCAGATTTGCGGACAATAGTTTCGAAAATGTTGAAAACCGCTGATATAAAACAAAGCCAACGTTAATACGAATTTCATATATGGTTTTAATTAGTTCATGTTCAATATGTCGTTAAGTTTCTTACGCATATAAGACTATAATTATAACATACAATTGTATATTATAATTATTATTGAATACTGTTTGAAAGTTATGCATAGTTGATTTATGAATACTTGATAAATTTCTTAACTTTTGATATACAGTTATATTTTAGCATTTTTATGTAGACCTCGTTTGTAAGAAGTATAATCTATAATTTGCAAATTATAATTTTTTATTCATTATTAAATTTTTATTATATAGTTATTATTAAACGAAATAGTTATTGACTTTAAGTACTTTGAAATTAAAAATTAATTCATTATTATAATGTAGCATTGCCCTCAATTGCATCGTTTAAATATTCCATTATCAGTCCATAACTTTTACCGAGTTAAAATAAAATTATGACACAACTCTTATTCTTTGAAAATTTCTAGTTTGAAAATCAATTTTATTAGTTATCATATAATGTAAATTTGAATACAAACAGTTTATAATTTTTAGTATTAGATATGTATGTATTGTGATGTGTTAAGTAAAGTATATAAGAGTATAGGTATTGTCTCTATACTATGGGTCATTAATCATTTATGTATTTAGAAAATTATGAATGTTATGATGAAATAGATGTTTTATTGAGCTATCATTTATTGATTCTATAAATTCTAATAGGGTTCGATTTTTTATTTTTTTTTCGAAAATGTACTTAATAGTTCAAAAAAATTTATGGAACTATAATGGGTAGGTGTTATGTAAAATTATTATAACCCACAATCATGACATATCGTATGTCAATATTTACATTGTTTAATAATTTTCAACTTTATGTGCAATGAAAATGCAATATTTGATTAAAGTGATTCAAATATATTGTTATGAGTTTCATAAGCGTGGACTTTTATATCTGGTGTTTATAGATTAATTATTCCAAAAGTCTTCAAAACTTTTACCTGTATTTATTCACAATAAATTTGATACGGACATTTTAACACTAATAATAGATTTTTTCACTGTAATATTATAATTTATAACAACTGATAATACCTAATCTATCCATTGCTAAATATTACACATTGTACACTATAGATCAGTGTTTCTTAAACTTTTTAACTTTTTGAGATCATGAAACACCAAACAATAATATTTTATGTAGAATTCTTATGAAAATTATTTAAAAAAAAAAAATATGCACAAAACAATACATTTACAATACACTAAAATACTGAATACAGTTAAATACAATTAAATTATTTTTTTATGAGGTATCATTTTTTGTTGTCGACATTAGTTTTTCGACTTTTCTTATATTGTGTGTGTAAAAAATATTATTGACTATATATTATTATTTATTGTGCATACCGTAATTATGACTATTATGTAATATTATAAAATAATATTTTATAAATGTTCATACTAACACTACTATTTTCCACTAGCCACTTCTGATTTTTAGTAGGATTTTTTCAAATTAATTTTTTTAATACTATGGTAAAAGCACTTGAATTTCGCGGAATTCTTAGTTGATATCCGTGGAACCCCAGAGTTCTTCGAAGCACAGTTTAAGAAACATTACTTTAGATCATAAAATTTACTCGACACTCGTAGATAACCGTGGTCTACAACAGCCTACATCCTCATGGTAGTATGGTACAGACTATACACGCCACGGTGTTAATGTCAATGCAGACAATATTTGTTATTATAAACTGAGCTTAGTTTTTATTTAATGTATATCCTGAAATAAAATATAATTCGAATTGTTTAATATTTTAAATCAAGGTACGTATAAAATTGGGGAACTTACCTTTATAAATAATAATCTGAAATAAAAATTCAGGTATTGCTATGCGTACCCATAATCAACCGCCTAATGGTAGAAGTTATGAACCCTGATTATAACTCTTCACAGATCTGAAATCAGTAGGTATTAAATAAGCTTTAAACTATAAGTGAATTAAAATCGTATCAACCTCATTTGTAATTTTATTTATAACTATTATTATAGGAATGGTAGACGTCAATAATTAAATGATTTGATTCAAGAACTTTCAGGACAGTTTATGCATTTTTGCCGTATTTCCCACACAATTTAAGGACAAATTAAAAAGAATGAGCATTTAATATTTATATTTATTCAAATTAAATTAACTTTAAAATTATACTCTTTAAAATAAATAGATATGCATGATATTATATTGCATCAAATGAGATTACTAATTATACTGATCTTGAGAAAGTAAGAACGCTCTTTGAATTACATCATTAGTGTTGTTAAAACCCCTCTCTTGAGATTGCATGAACCCACTCGGTTGATACTTCTGTATAGAATACATTTCAACAGAGTCTTTTTGCTGTGTTTGTACGTATGGTACATTGGATAATTGAGTTTCGAAAGGAGGGGTAGTGCAGATGAAACTGATTATGGACTTGGTACTGACACAGAAGATAACGATGAATATGCTCTGTTAACATGTTTGTTTTTCTTTCTCCTAACGGTAGTCAATAAAAAATATTAAATCAGCAGTTGTCACGTGCAAGAATTGTAATTGAATGTATATTTGGTATAATGACTATATTTCGAGTTTTTCAAAAATCAATGTTGTTGGAACCATAAAAAGCGACACTAGTTTCATTAACATGTTTAATGTTTATAACTTTTTAAATAAAAGCCGAACTTCACGAAATATGTACATGTCTGAAAGTACAATACATCTCTTACAAGAAAATCAGATTACACTACCACCACTTACTAAAACATCAAGGTGATCAACACAAAATGCAAAGCAAATTCAAGATGAATTTTCAACTTACTTTTATTCACTCAGACAGTACATAAGACTTTTACCTATTGGAGGTTTTGTATTGGTATTATTGACAGTAACAGCATAAAATATAATACAGCTTGTTTTAATCCACTTACCTCGGTGTTTATTGTATCCTTTTTGTTATAAAATTGTCCCAGGAAACTGTCCATTAACTCATAGGCAAAGGAAAAATTTCATTAGTCGATGAACCAGAACGGATGGATTATTTTGTTTTTTTTTTCTTTTAGTATAATCGATGTGTTGACATTAAATATTCTAGTTTTTTTTTTTTTTTTTAATTCTAGTATAGTGCATTTCATGGAAAACTTTTGTTGTATGCGTTGCCACGCATCTGTAACGACATTTCTGTTCTCATGGTCCCTCGTTAAAGGTTTCCACAAATGTACTTGTGCTTGATAAAGCTCCAAAAGTTCAAGCAATTTTTATTAGACCATGGCTCCTGTCGTTCTTTAACTTGAGTAATTTTGCGATTTTAATCATGTGAATTAGTACGTGCGCACGTTCACGACCGTAGTGGTAAACAAACAGTCAATGCCAATGACTATAGACGGAAGTCTTGTATCGCATTAAATAATAATAATTGATAACAGTGGTAATAATAATCATGGCTATAGTCGGGATAATGTAAAGATAAATTATATAAATGATATGATTTCGTATGAAATCGTATAGTATATGTTGACGGCGTTGGAACCAACGCCGGCAAATGTGTGGATGGCGCAACCTTTTCGATGTTCCGTCAAAAAACCGACAGTCGAGCTAAAAGTTCCAACATTGAGACCAATGACGGTTCCAATGCTGTTTAATGCTGATCCGCACGTGTTGGACGAACACTATTGACACCAACGTTGGCGCCAATGCGTGAACCCGGCGCGAAAACAATCGACGGGTGTTCCGTGTTTCTTACCACCGCGGCGGCGTTCGTCACGTCCTCCCGGCACACTTGTAGGGGGCACGTGTACGCACGTGAACGACGCGTTGTCGCGACGCGGTCTGCGTTAACGGTGGAGTGGAGGGTTTGTCAGGGGGAACGCCGGACGGAAGAAGGGGATAAAATATGACTCAACCGAATCCGATGGATGCGCGCGCGTACACCTTGCACCGTCCGCAGCAGCTGTGCACACATCCAAGTACATTATTTTAAACAGTAGGTACGCGCTGCCGCTGCCGACGTCGTGTCCGCCACGTTGTGTGTGAGGCGCGCGAAAGCTGTGGCAACAAAACGACAGAACCGGTTCCCGGGAGAGTAGAAACAACAACAGGAAAAAAAATAAATAATAATAATAATAAAAAAATATGTTCACAGTCAACCGGTAACCGTTTGTTGAACCCGGCGCGTCCCAGATTCCGCGGCGGTGTACGGTCGTCGGAGTGGTGGCGGAGGCGCGGAGTAGGCTCACGCTCGGCAGGACAGTTATAATTATATATATATATATATGATGATGACGAATTCGGTGCGATGACGACGACGATATAAATAATATATTATTGCGACAACGAGTACGCCGATCGGTGCAAGGATACGTGCGGTTTTTTTCTCCTTCCGCCATCGTCATCGCATCGCCAACGAAACCGGTTAGGTTAGGAGAGCGGAGAGCAAGACGTTTTTCGCGCGAGTTGAACGTACTCCGCGATACCACCCTCTTCTCTTCACAACCGTTTCGTATTCTCGACTGGTTCGATCGAAGACACATTATTATCATATTACTTTCGGTTTTTATTCGAAACGGTTTCGACCGCACCCCGTCGCGGGCAAACAAACGTAGGTTATTCCCATTACAGGATTATCGCACCGTTGTCGCTGCCTGCGTTGTTGCTGTAATATATTACTCTATTACCAACTATTATTACTATTATTTTCAATTTTTTCGTCATCCGCAGATCCGTTATAACGATAAATTATGAGCTATTACACGCGAACAGAAAACGATAGCGGACAGTGCCGCTGTCACAATATTCGTAACATTATTTGTCACAAACGCGACGCGTGTCTGCACTCCATAAAATAGGTTCCAAATAACATCAACTTCAGTCGTGTCCTGTTGGTCACCGGCGTGCGATGATGGCGGACGGGCATGCCCGGTCGAGACTAAAGATTATTCATACGAATCACACATTTCCATTAATATGTATCGGTTACACGTAAAACGTAGCCAGCATTTATGAAATTTATCGAATACATTACTTACGTAACGAACATTTTTCAATTAACAACACGCAAGAGAGTTGTATTCGATAAACTAAAAATAAATAATTGTGTGCAATATATAAAATGTTTTGTAATTAAATTTATTTTATATTATTATTTATACCAATTTTATATACCAATACTTGTTTATACCAATACTAAAAATTAATTATATAAAATTTACTATAAATACTCGTATATTTTAGTTTAAAATGCATAAGTGCTTGGAAGTTTGATGATTATGAAAGTAAATCTATATGATTTTTAAACAAGGATATTGGATATTTAAGTTAAAAAAAAATAGACACTTAGATAATACTGATTCAGAAGAAAGACAATTAGATACAATATCGAAGTTTATAAATAATATTAATTTTGTAATTTGTGATAGATTATTATATCTGAGTTACATAAATCCAATTAGGTATATACTAAAATACATATATAAGTATATATAGATCCCGATAATTTTATAGAAGAATGATTTAAATTGTATAGTTTATATCTTCTCGTCAATTAAAGATATTCATATATAGAATGTATTCCAAAATGAAAACTTGCCTCAACATTTTTCTTATAATACTAGTTATAAATTGTTATAATAAAAAATAAATTTCATCATTGAAAATAATTAAAATTAGATTACGATCTACATTGAATCAAAATATTTTGACGATTTGGAAATATTATTGATCGAAAATAATATCATTGCTAACCTGTTTTTAAAACCATACTTGTGTTTACAGCTTATACAATAATATTCTACTTACTACTGAAAAGATTTTTAAATAATTAAAATTGTTGTTGTTTAAATTTTATTGAAGTTTAAAATACTTGATATCTGATATAGATAATATGTCACTATCGGAGCCAACAGACAACAATAATATTTAAAATACAAAATTTGTTTTGCAAGCATTAATATGTTTAATTTATCATGTAAACAACTTCTTATCAGAATATGTTGCTTAACCACCAACTCGGTGGATAGAACGTGACTTGTGTAAGTTTAGGTACTCTTCGTGTGTAGATAACATAATATTCTATATATAAGCATTATAACATTCCTATTGCTCAATGTACATCTTAAAAATTCCATCTAGAATTCAGTTGCACTATTCTGATAAACGATTATGATCTAAATCTTTGAACCTCATATTATCTACATGCCTGAGATTTTATAGTTTTTACTTTCTCGACATTTAACCCTTCACATATCAACCATCATCACTATCATCTGTTTACTGCAATTTATACGGATATAAAAAACAACTTTGGTGCTGCTGCTTATTAAAAATTATGTGTTTAGATCATGTAATACTTATGTTCACTCGAGTGTCGACCGATTTGATCAGTGAGTCCATTGAGATAAGGCAAACACAATGTGAATAACGAAATGAAAAATAAAAACATCCACATTAATGGGAATTATTATTCTATTGGGAAAACAACATGATTATAGATCACGAGGCCACCATGAGATCGCCCCTTACATCATATAGGTTATCTAAATTTTTTTTTTTTTTTTTATATATCACGAAAACATATTTATGATAATAGTCGAGTGTTTCTTTTTTATCTACGATAATAATAGCTGACATTCAAATATACATAAGAAAGGTGAGTTGAAAATCCATTTAAATCCTCTTATCCCTATTATCTACACGTGTATATTAAAACTCGAATTCCGATATAGTTCTATATAATATTTATTACCAACTGATAAAAATTAAAAACTCTTTTTTTTTATTGAGAAAGAAAAATAAAATATGAATTATTACTGCGTTTTATTCGTAATATTTATAATACTATATTTATGTTCTAAATTCACACATTGTTGTTAAAAAAAAAAAATCATCAAATTTAATATTTAATCCTTATAAATTATGCATTATGTTAGCTTATAACATAAACATGATTGATAATATTTTAACCTAAAAGTTTATATTTATATTTGTTTTAAATCCTTGAATATTTAATAAATATAAATCATCATGCCAGTCAAGTTTTTAAAATTGTAAGACAATTTAATGAATAATAAATATTAACTTTATAATATGATGACATGATTTTCATCAATTAAATTCGTTATGATAATGTGATATTTATGATAAATTTGATCCTAATTTGTGGAAAAAGTCGTATTAGAACAAAATTGTTGACAAAAAATTTGAAAATAAAACGTTTTTGAGTAGTATTAGCATAAGTGTACTGATATATTATTAACGTTATAAGAATAACACTTCAATTTAGTTGATCATTCATCACTCATATTTCTGACAAGTTATAGAAAATATCGATGCCACTAAAAATCAAGGCATCGCCTTCCAGATAAAAATAATAATAATGTTAGTTACATAATGTATCTTACATTATTCCTACAGCTATAAATATATTCGAATATTTTAGTATTTATAAATATAGTTTTGCATTGAAATAATTTTAGTTCTAAATAACATTTTTACATTTCAGTATTAAAATTATTTAAAATTTTAACTTTAACTAATTCTTTAGTAAAATTAAGAAAATTATTCGGGTATTATTGAAATTAATTGACCAAATTAAATGATTAAAAATATTTGAAATTTTTTATGACGTTTTGTGTGATATTTAGAGTTAAATTGTTTAATTACTATAAAAATTCTAGATTTAAATGTAAATTGTTTTAAAAATTAGTAACTGGTATTATCTGCAGTCGACTTGATGGTTGTGTAGGTTTCACGTTTCAAGGTAAAAGTAAATAATTCAATGTCTACTATTATTTGTTCAACATAGTTTTTATCTAAATGAACGTAGTTTAAAATACTTAAAAACAATCCCTGAATATTACAATGAATAAATTAAAACTCTAACTGTATTATAATTTTCAAATTTGGTTAACTTTTAAATTATTTTGGCTAATTTATTTTTATATATATATATGTAATATTTTTTATGAACCTTAAGTAATTAAATACTTTTTATTTATCCGTATTGTCTATTATAATTAGTAATAATTGATCATCTTTACAGCTCAAATAGCTTAATTAAACTATGAACAAAATACCATTCAAAATGTAAAGAAATTATTTAATCCTAAACTTAAGCTACTATTTTTCGAAGTAATTTTTTTTATTTTATATTTAATAAAATCTAAGCAAAAATTACCTGAGCAGATTAAATATAACTAAACTAATCGAATTTAAGGTACAAATATTAATTTATTTTATTTAAGTAATTTACTTGATTGTGAATTTTTTTAATGAATTTAATACATAAAAGCTCAAAATTGCATGATCGGTCAACAATATATAATAAATTAACGAAAAATTATTTTTAAAAACATATACTTTTGGCTATAAATCGAATAATTTAATTTTTACTTAACCATTTTAATTTTCTTTTAATTTTTAAGGAGATTTATTTTAAATTTATTATTGCTTATTTGTTACTACGTATTAAGTTGCCTTGCACAACTATTTTTAACAATAAGTTGGCCAAATTTAGTAGTACAATAATAACTATAGATAATTACATACCATTCGTTCAATCATCAAATTAGAAATTGATAAGTGTTTAATGTTTATTAATTATTCTTTAATGTATCTATGAATGATATGATTTATCGATGTTGATACTATTATAATGAAATAATAATCAGTTATTTTGTTTACGATATTTTACAAATAATGCGACTTTTTATCAAATATTTATTGATAGCAAGTCGCAAGTGGATTGGTTTTTATCGAGAAATATTGAGATATAATAAATTAGGTTAATATTATGTTAATATGCTGTCTGTAGTATCATATTATATTTAATTTTAATGTTGCTTATGTAAACTATAAATATGTATCATATTGTGTCATTATTCATGCATCATGTCAATGTTTGATAACAACAGTTTAATACGAGTTCAATTTCACAAAATATTCGTTATGGCGAATAAAAACTATACTTCAGACATCTGAACTCTGTGAAGTTGGTGGTCGAGTAATTAGTGATATGAGTAACAGATTTTTGTTGATTAAAAAACAATTTGTTTGAATTTAGTTTGAGTTATTTTAATAATTTTATCAGAATTACTTAGTCTTGTATAAAAATGTTAGTATGAATAGTGTAATTGATACTAAATAATGTTAATAACTTTTTTCCGTAATTAATAAAAATACCAATTAAAATTGTTTTAATGGTGGTTGGCTTACCTTCTTAATTATACGTATAAAGGGTTTTAAAAATGTTTTATTTATAAAAGTTATTTTTAATGTACTTATAAAAACCAAGTATTAACTAAAATTATGTTTATTTCGATAAAACGTAATCATTATTGGCTGAAAAAAGAAACAACTTCAGTTTCTTCAAAATTCACCGTTTTGTTGTAACTATTTACTCGTATTATGTATCAAATATCCAAATGATGTTGTTCACATAATTCATAATATTTGTACTTAATATTTGACTTAGTAGTTAAATAAACAAATCTTCAAGAACAAATATTTTTTTAAATTTTTTCTCTGCAACATTTCTGTTTTCACACTTCTATTATTTAATATTCTTCTACATATTTAATATATGCATCGTCTTTGTTATTGTAAACAATACCGACGACTTTTAATGTTCACATAGAATTCTAATACTTTTACTGTTTTAATTTAAAATATCAGTGTACAGAAGTGTGTTTTTTTGATGAGTACTAATTATTATGTGGCAGTGGCGTTAAAATAATATATGTTTAATCTTGACACGATTGAGCGTATTATTTTCAATTAGCTATCTATAATATAACCTTGCGCTTTTCGTCAAAAATTTCAATGTGTCTGGGTTTTATCCCTAGTGTGGAGTTTCGATCATGTTTTGCATAACATTCTATTATTAACCGCGAAAAGAAGATAATACCGACGAAATCGTGTTGAACACGAACGTAAAAACCTATTTGGATTTGATACTCGACAAAAATTTATACATTATTTATACATTTCACTTGAAACATAGTGTTGGAGTATAATGTTATGCGGATGATTGCAAGGTAACTATTAAATCCGTGTCTCTCGGGCGATGGCAGACGGGCGTGTGCGAGGATAAAAAAAACAAAACTTTTTAAATACCGCAGACGGTATTGTAGAATATCGGTGTACGGTTTGGGAGAAAGAAGAATGTCGCCGGTTTCGAGTAACGAAACGATAATGCATCATTATTCCTCTGTCGCTTTGCACGTGCTACGTGCTCGCGATGCCCCGCAGGTACGCACACGTACATGTCATGATGTCGTGCTCGGTATATTGTTCGATTGGTCTCTCGTCGAGCCTACAACAACGGCACGAAGCCGTTTTGAACATGCCCACGCGCCTAAGGTAAACGTACGTGATGGGAGAAAAAAAAAAAAAAACTGAAAAAAAAACGTTTTTTTTATGTGTACTCGCGTATAACACGGACCGAGAAGAGAGAACGCCCGGTAACGGGTTCGCTCTTTACCACCACCGCAACACGGGTGGCGGCGGTCGGTTGTGAACGTCCGCCGCCGCCGCCGCCGCCGCCGCCACCACTACCGCTACCATTTGACCTACAACAACGCTCGTAATAACGTAACCAAGAACTTTCTTTCCGTTGCCGTGTGAATGTAGAACGTGACGTCACACGATCGCGGACGATCATCGTCACCGCCCGCCCGCGAACGTGCACACCGCGCGCGCGGTGGCTAACGTACCGGCAGCGGTCGGGTCGACGAACTCTGTCCGCGGGCCGCCGTTGAAGTAACGCATTACAATACAATATAATAATGTTATGTGTGAAATGCGATTATTATTATTATTGGTCTCGTTGTTGTTGTACGTAGTCGGGCCCGCTCTGACCTATTTGGCCGCCTGTGTTATACGAACAAATTTGCTGTCCCTCTCCTTACCCGTATTTCAGATCTTCCAGAGTTTTTTTTAAACTTCAAAAATGTTATTAAAATTCGTTTTAGTCAATATTTCAAGGATGTTTAATATTGTGTTTACTTTTTGATTATTATGATAATTTTTCTGAGGTTTGATTTATAAATCCGCACTACATTTTCGACGGTTCCTGTTTATGAACACCTCGCACACCAGGTTAGCAGGGCCCTGTATGTAGTGGTCGCGAAAAACGTATACCGCGAGAACTTACGGCTGCGGGTGAACGCATATCATCGTAGTCACAGCCGCCGTCGTGCAATCGTCACGATTTGGTCGGTGAAAATGCCTGCCGGGATGACGACAACAGTCGACGAATGAATGAAAATTTTGAAAAATGATTAATGGTCGCACGATGGGATTTATTTTTCCCGATTTTTTTTTTTTCTTAATCTCCCCACTCATCTCTCTGTCCATCCGAAAATCGTGTAACATCGGTCGTGCCCCCGCGGGCAATACAGCAACAACAACGGGTCTTGTCGCGGACGCGTGTATAATACAATTCATGAACACCGCTATACGCGGACGAGCACGGAAACCGACTGATCCCATCATCCGTTGCAGCGTGAACGTGTACAACAGTATAATGGGTATAGCGTGGTACGTGATCGCCGAGGTACACGGCGGAGAGTTGATTGACCCGGAAATCTATCGTGGTCGGTCTCTCGTCGTCGCGTCCGTATCAATGCCGTATCTGTTGGTGCAGTCGACGTGATAATGTAACGATATCGCGGTTGACCGTATCGTAATAATATTGTATGGTGTTAATAATAATAATGTACGGCGGAGTCGCCGTGAGAAGCGCACGTATCGGTCAGGTTGTTCGTGTGACGTGATGGCGAGTGAAGTAACTTTTTTCCGGTACATTCCTGAACTGGTTAAATTCTCTCATGCGCCCGTCGGAGAAATAACACCGAATACTAACAACGTGTCCAGCACCGATGCCAATGTATCGACACACATGCGCACGTCTCTTTTGCCGGATATATCCGTCCTCATTGTTTTCGTAACGTAGAATTTCCAAGAAAAAACATTCGCGGGAAAATTTATTTTTATTTTCGATGCTCTTTGTTTTCCCGGTTACGAAACGATATGTACAACACGTAGGTAATAATACCATGTCGCACCGCTGTAAAATTGAAAAAATACAGTTAACCTAAGTTAACTTTCACTGAAATATTTTAACGGTTTGAATAAAATGTAGGAATTTTAGCACGTAATGTTCGTTTGTTTTATTCTTTGTTCGTAAAATCGACATCGTAAACCGTTAACGTATGTTTTTGAAAACTTAAATTTTACAACAGTATAGTCCTTAGCTTGATTATAATTATCCGATTATAACTATATCAGTTAAATAATGTATTAAAGTTGAAATGAAAATTGTATACAAAAATAATATATTGCATATGCGGTTATTGCAGATACCACGTTAAGAAAGTGTGTATGTAAATGTCCATTTAATTATAAAAATCTGAATAGTAGATTATGAAATATCCACTATTTATATTGTTGAAATAGTGAATAAAGCTTTTATATTAGTCTAAGAATTAATTGTAGAGGCCTATGGATTATATGTGCAGTAATCATTTTTGAAATAGTCTACAAACCGGTTGTACAGCTTTCTAAAACGCTCTTACAAAATATCCAAGAGGTCTTTGGATATTTATTCTTTTTCGTAATGCTACCACACAAGGTATAATATATGCTGCGTTATGATAATGCTTTGAGATAATAATATCTATATTATGAAAACGAGAAGTCTGGAAAAAACTAAAGACCATAAAACCGGTTTCGACCTCGTTCTGAAAACCACTGCAGGTGAATACAAAAACATGCGTACAAAAAGGAGCTGACGAACAAACAGCTATATGTTTAGGATTCTCTCACGAACGTGCCAGGGTTTGTTTATTATGTTCTCTACCTCCGACCGTACGTAGAGGGAAAAAGTGACCTTGACATTGTTCAGCATCCCTGTTATTCATAAACACATGGGAATCATTGTTTGTTTATTTTTTTTCATTTCTTTTTACACTATTCACTCACCAAGGGTGGTCTCTAGTACCTTACCCTCCCTCGCTGTAATTGTTGCTCCACCGGGGCGACGTGCGTTCCTACCGAAGTTTGTGTACAACGAATATGCGACTACCAACCTTACACGGGCGACCGAATGCATAATTTTAAAACACGCACGCACACCGAATATACTCTGGGAGGGAATTATCCGTACGGGGTTTTCCGGACGCACGAACCGTTCGTCGTGGCAGGCGTTTTCCACGAAAGTCCCGTGCGAACGACCGCGACGGCGAAATCGTACACCGACCACGTGTAAAACGCGATTAAAAACACACACGGCGCATCGGACGTGTACCGTTGGATCGATCGTGGGAACAATCACGGGAAAGAAAACGATTCCTTACCGCATCGCTATCCGAGACGACGACGGTATTCGCGCACGGTAAACAATAACAACGCCGTAATAATAATAATATATCGTGTGTGTACTACGGTCGGTGCACGTGTGAAAACATAATATTGACTACGTCATCAGATTTTTCTTGTTTTTTTTTTTTTTTTGGCTCGTCCTCTTTACACCGGAACAGCCGTTCTCGTCGCTGACGTAAACATTGACCGCTCTAGTATGGTAGCGTCGTACTACATTTATCGTTATTATTACAAACCGTCCGAACGGCAGCAGCAATAGTATTGCAGTACGATTATTATGAATATTACGTGTACACTATCGCCGTATTATATGTACAAAACGAGCGGCGCGGTGCGCGCGTGTTTTTTTTTCACCGTTGCTTCACCACGTTAACGCGCGTGCGCGTGCGTAATAGCCGCGAGTTTTTATCTCGTGTGACGTATTCCCCCGCGCTCCGCCACCCGATAACCACAGAGCGGTATTCCGCCGACCGTGACTATACACACGCGGCGCTGTCGTGTCCTCGCCACCGCCACTGCTCCTCCAATCGACTACCACCGCCACAACGAACGCGTCGTCGTGGTCTGACCCGGTTGACGGTCGTGCGGGAGAGCGGTTGCCGGCCGGCGCGCGGGGTGGCTTCTCGGATCAATGATAAAAATAAAATACGGCGCGACGGTGCGTGCGTGCGTGCGTGCGTGTGCGTGCCGCTCCTGGAGGGTCGGTTACGTACGGCCGCCGTACGGGTAAATACGTCACGCGCCCGCCGCCGCCGCCGCCGCCGAGCCCGGCTCCAGAGACCGCGACGTGTTCATTGGCCCGCGTAGTCCGAGGTTGGCAGCGCTGCGGGCCCGTACGACAACACTCACGCACACGCGCACGATCCGCGCAGAGCGCATGCGCACCACCCGTTCCCGGAGCCGTACCGTTCGGCCGTCGACCGACGTAGCCGTGCGACGTCACTCACTACGACTGCCAGTGTTCATCGTGCTTACCCTGTGCGTGAATGCGAGTGCGTGTGACAATTACCGAGTGTTGTAGCGCGCTAGCGGGGTTTTACGTTCAGTTTCCGTGTACGTTCCGTGCAGTGTACGTGTTAACGTTGGACGTTCCGTTTCGCAAACCTTAGGTTTCAAGTGTTCGTGTGAACTCTTTTCAAATCATAGTTTTATATTTTTTATTTTTTACATTCTCCTCATCACGGTTCGTTGATATTGTTCATATATGGATTATTGTCGAGTGCTCCTCGGGGAACGTATAACGAACTGTAGCGACGTCACCACCATCGTCTACGGATACTAACGATTCTCGTAAGCAAAGCGTGGGTACACGCCGTCAACAGTTATCGGCGAACATGCAGATGGGTAAGCGACAACACTGTTATCTGTGCGACTTGCCCCGCATGCCGTGGGCCATGTTGCACGACTTCTCCGAGCCCGTGTGTCGTGGCTGCGTCAATTACGAAGGAGCGGACCGCATCGAACTGGTGATCGAGACGGCTAGGCAGATGAAGCGCGCCCACGGGTTTCAAGAATCCGCGCGGTCCTCGTCCGTCGGCGGAGGCAGCTCGTCCGTGAACATCAACGCGCACCACCCGAAAAACTCGCACCGGCACGAGAACGGCACGCTTGAAGTGGTCGGCTTAACGCCCCAGGCGCACCAGTTGACCGCGCGGCAAACGCAACAGCAGCAACAACCGCCGCCGCCGCCGCCGACCACGGTCACGTCGCATTACGCGACGCTGCACCATCCGCGGTCCACGCTCATGGAATACCCCGGCCGGTCGGTCGGCGCCGGCGTCAACCACGCGGGCGATCACGACACGGCCATGAGCAGCAGGACGTCGGTGCGTCTGCAACAGAGCCAACAGCAGCAACACATGGCCCATCACATTCCGAGCCGGGCGCAGACGGGCAATCAGGGGCTGAAGCGAGGCCTTAGCTCGCAGGTCGACGATGACGATCATCACGTGGAGAGCAACAAGCGCATGATGGAGGAACAACATCAACAGCAACAGCAGCAGCAGAGACCGCCTATGCAAAGAGGCGATTCGCTGCCGGCCGTCAGCCTCGCCGTGCCTTTCGTCGAAAGAACGTTCAAAGCGGAGGCCAAACACCCGCTGAGAACCACGTCGTTCGATGCGTCCTCGTTCAAGACAGCTGGTAAGTGTTATGAATGAAACCTTGAAAACCCGTAGTTATAGTAGTGCAATAGTATTAGCGCAACAGTAGTATAATAATATTATTATTACCCGCACTCGTCCATTTCTGCGAAAACAATAATATTATTCTCGCGATCTCCAACCATGCCGTTTTTTTTATCGTTCACCACTCCGACGTTGTTTGCCTCAATCTATTTCGTTTCACTCGCCACAACACAGCAATGCTTCATCAGCTATTTAAGTTATATCATAATTGTTGTTATTACCGGATTTAATACATTAGGTGCTCTTTCTGTGACGTAGTTATGGTATTATGTTTGTACCGTCGACAGCGAATAGACAATTAGCGTTGAGAGACGGTTGTGGAGCAGTGGTGGGTGGGAACGTAGGGAGATCGTCGATAATTCACGACAAACTCTTCACGTACGACTGACCAACAGTAATATAATAATACGGCGGCGTGCCTGACTAATAGGCCGTGACGTCATACGATCCGGTTCCCCGACCTGGTTCAATCGACAGGACATTTGAATTAAGATTATGCATAAATGCTTTTTTACAAGTCAAACAGTTCCATCGCTTTTCTTTCGTGATCTTGTTGCTGAGCCCAATAAACAAAATACCGAATTCCGATATTTTTTGTCTACTATCTCGTATCATGCGGTGGTCTTCCGGGCGGGAGGCTATATTATAGGCAACATTATAGGTACACGTTTTTGACGTCACACGCGTGTACTTACACGCACTCACAGTACGATGCACTGCGCATACGCGTTTACGGTAATCGTTCATCGGAGATCCTCCAACATTCCACGCCATGGTGATTGATTTGTGTGTGTATGTTTGTGATTGGGTAGGCGGTGCATTTTCGTGCATTTCAAATTTTACGTATTATATTTTGTACCGTTGCGCCGCATGCATTTCGACTGAGTGCTGCCTGTCGGGGTGGCAACCGTCATCGACAATGACCTACTAAGAACAATATGAAACGTGAGTTAAAGAGTCGTTAAAGAAATGCGAGCCAAATGAACGAGAAAATAAGTTTATTTTCATAAAACAACTTAAATACAGTCGTGCAATAGAAGTTTGCGTTGCTTTTAGTTATTTTTCTTTGTGTTATCGATTTACCCTTCTCATTCTTTTTTTATTTTATTATTATTATTTTTAGCCGTGTGTTTTCTTACCCATCTCTGTTAAATCGTGTAATAATATTTCACAGCTTTTAGGTAAACGCTTTTCACCCATCCTATTTTTTTTTTTTTTTTTTTTTTTACTGATCGTCCCTTATGTGCGCCAGGTGGATATGCGTCAGTTGCCGTGGCACAACAGTGCATGACCAACGGCACCGGACCGGCGGCTGGATCGCCGCTGGCCGCCGGCCGGACAACCGGGTCGCCAACGGACGGACCACCGTCCATGCAGACGATCGGTGCCGGTGGTGGCCAACCGGGCGGACCGAACCAACAGAACGGGCCCAACAACCCGATGGCGGCGCTGATGAGCGTCGCCGATAACCTGCCGCCCGGGTCGCCACAGAGCGCCCGAGGCAGTCCGCCTGGCTCGACCGGTCCCAATAACGCCCAGGCACCTGGCGGTCCCAGGTCCGCTTCCCGAGGATCTCAACACTCGCCAAACTCCACCGGTATGTATTTCACACACGACCCGAAGACATTCTACCCTCTATGTAAACGCATTTACATTCGAAACGTTTTGGAGGGGGTCCAGCGAGTTTATAAAACGAAAAACATCTCAAAACATATGTACCGTCTCTTAAAATCGTATACGAAATCGCACCATTGCACGGTTTTTCTACAGACATTTTCCTTCTCCACCATACCACCTGTAGTAATTGAGCGTTCATTAGATGCAAACATTATTCTTAAGTCGTTGTTATAGTACTGCCTGCTTTTTACGTACTTTTTTTTATTTTTCTATTCTTTATTCTCTAGTATTTTTTTCTAGTAGTTATGAACTTTTTTCCCGTACAGTATTTTATTGTTGTGTTGATAAAAACCGCGGCGCGTTGCATTAAGTGGGTTAATAGGGGCGTCCGGGTCAGATAACTGCGTGTGTACATCGGTCTTTCATGTGCACTAAGCGCGTGTTATCAATTTGTGCATATGACAGTTTGGTCATTGGATTAATACTGTATTTATAGATCGACAGCTTTCCGGTATATTTATCATCGTTAGCGTATAGTTCAAGAGCGTTATTTCTCGGTCTCGAAAATAATACTTTTATCTTATCGACACCGACGTACAGGCACAATTACTCGGAAATTCTTATGATTCAATTATATTTGGTATATTATTTTGTTCTGCCGAGAATTATTAAATCTTGTGGAATAATAATTGTTCGACGAATCTATCCAGCACAATGATATTGTGAAAACATGAACGTTGAAAAGTGATGTTTTTAAAATTTCATACGAGCCACATAATGGTTCTAATCAACGTTTCGTTATTGATTACGAAGAGAAATAAGCTAATCGCTGATTACTGTAGAACGACTTAAAAATAACCAATATTATGTTACTGGTCGTGATTCATAAATCGTACTCGTTTTATCTAAAAATTACGGTAATAATAAAATTTTAAACGGTGTTTAGTGTTGGTTTTTTTTTTTATATATATCCCGTTCACGATTCATACGAAGCATTACAGTAATACACTGATCACCGATAATATTAATATGTTGTACTTATCAAAGTAGCCGCCCGTGCGCGTTGGCGGGGAAAATGTCGATAAACATCCGAATTGATTTTTGCCTCCACTTGACACTTGATACTTGACACGCACAGATAAATTCGAATGTAATCTTCAAACGTCATCCCCCCCCGCGAACGCCGAATACCCGTCCATCCACAACGTAGATAATAATTATTTACAATCTTATGATATTTTTAACGCACAACTCGGTCGCATGCCGCCCATAATCTTATTACTCGTCTTAATGTTTGCTTGAAGTAGATTTGTTGATTATCTGTCCTTTTTTTTTTTTAACAAGTCGCGTTTTGTAGGTGGTTCGTCCAGCGGACGTAGGTCATCCGGCAGTCGGCACGTCAGCTCCACAACGGTTACGTCGAGCGAGGCCAATGGCGCCGGTTCGGCCGTCGCCGGTCCGCCCGGCGTCGGTGGTGCTGGCGGGAACGGGCCCGGTGGCGGCGGTAGCGGTGGAGCTACGGCAAACGGCGGTGCCAACGGCGGCAGCGCCCAGAACGCATCGGCTACGGTCGGCGGCGGCGGCAGTGCCGACGGCGGCGCGGCCGGCACTTCTATGGAAACCGGTGCACCGACGGTGCCGCTCGTGCCACCAATCTCCATACCGCCAACAAATGCGTCGGCGGCCGCGGCTGCGACTGCAACCAACACGGCCACGCTTAAGTGCACGTTGTGCCAAGAACGGTTGGAAGATACGCACTTCGTCCAGTGTCCGTCTGTTCCTCTTCACAAGTTCTGTTTCCCGTGCTCCAGAGACAGCATCAAGCGACAAGGAGCCGGATCCGAGGTGAGTTGGTTTGCCGTTGTTTACCCACCGGTTGTCAAGAATTTTTTTTCTATTTTCGTTTCAACCGATTACTTACACGTTTTTTCTCCCTTTGTGTCCGCAGGTCTACTGCCCAAGTGGCGATAAGTGTCCACTGGCCAATTCTAACGTCCCCTGGGCTTTCATGCAAGGTGAAATAGCCACCATATTGGGCGAAGAATTCAAAGTGAAGAAAGAACGAGACTCATAAATTATTATTATATAGTATAAGAAATATATGTATGATTGTGTATGTTACGTATACACGTATGTGTGCGAAACGCCCCATACGGATCCTATCAGATTAATATACTTAGGCCTGGAAGGATCGAGGCCTGAATGTAAAATATACATTTATATACTAAATCTGTATATATAAATATAAATATATTTTAATTGTATTACGTTAAAATGCCAATAGCTATTACGGTATTGTATGTCATTATTAGGCAATCCTTTATTTTTAGATGAAATTTAGGATAAATTACGCCTCGTTATATTCTTGTATATTCTTTTTTCTTTCAAAATTAATTCGGTTGTACTGAAGTAGAAAAATGACAAAAGGAGGCAATCTTTTTGGCGATAATTAAGACTGACTCAAGTCGTGTTTGTATTTTAAATATTTTAATAAAACAATTAAGGAAAAAACGGTCCTAAGACTGCTAGTCAAAACAAGTATATATTTATATATATTGTGTAATAATTATATATAATATTTATATCAATTCTAAGTGCACAAAATGTATAATACTGTTTTGTAGCTTTAATAAATTATGTACCTTTGTATTAAAAATATATTTTAGACCGGTAGAAGTCTGCGTTGAACGTTTTTGTCGTCAAACGGAGACATATGTAAAGGAACTCACAATCTCGCTTGTTTTGCATCTATGTGCGTGTACATTTGTTAAATTTGTCGTACCGTAGATTTTGTGTTTTCTCCCCCTCCAGCCACCTCTTCCCTACGTGTTATATTAAGAAAAAGTAACTTGTGTAAAATAAAAATAAATATACAAATCGGTAATCGTGTATGATTTATTAATCCAACAACGGAACACGACACGTGTTTATAACATTTAAAAAAAAACTCACGTCAATCGCAATACTCGGTTCCGAGTTTATGTAAATATTTCAACGCACATTGACCCTACGGAGAAGCTGATTTGTAGTACTCTTATTCCTGCAGTTGGTCGATTTGCTCGCAGTTTGCTACATTGTTTAAATTAAGTAATAAATGTCGCCCACGTGGTAGCGCGTTGTCCGATTGGATTTCGTCCAAATAACGTCAGGGTTTGCCTTTGCAACTTGTCCAATATTTAGATTCAAAACATTTTTCACTTGCAGTAACACGATGTGTTGCCCAGTAGGACGTGTTTCGTGTTCCCTCGAAAGAAATCGAAAACCGTTAGTCTATAATGTGGCTGTACTTATCGAGATATACTGTATTATTATTTGTATTGTTCGCTGTGCCATCTGTTCGTATAACATATTCCAATAGAGATCGAAAACAGACGTACTGTGGAAAACACGTTTAAACTATTAGACCATTTTTTTTTATTACGTGTTATGAATCGTATGTTTTTGAACATTGTTTAAAATACTAATTAACAGCTGTGTTGTCTTCACGTTCAGACGATTAAAATACTACATTTATCGTCCGGTCGTTTCCGGTGTGTGCTGTGCACCATTACATTCTAAAGCCGGTTTCGATTGGCTATGAAACCTCGTAGGATATTTTTCGGCCAACGTCACACCTGCTGTTATTATTATTATTTTGATGGTGTGAGGGGGTGGCGCATGCGTCGCTAGTGAATGGAACATATTGACGTTTTATTATTATTATTTATACACACGGATTTTACGACCGTTCTACGGCACGGAAGAGGGACGAGAGTGCAGTGCGTGCGCATGTAGCCGTACATCGCGATAGGGTGGTGTACCGTAGCAGGAGTTGGACTCGTGACGTCACACGGGACAGACGGTAAACCCCGTCGTAGTCGTACGTTTTCTACTTCAGGGGGAGGGGGCTAGCCTTCCTTCCGATACATAATAACGTACAATGTATAGTGCGGTGTGTATTTTATTCCGCGTTCGACAACGCTAATAATCATAATAATATTGTCGTAGCAACAACAAACGGCCGATCTGTAAGCGCGCGCGTGAAAAACGTGTTCGAAGACTGATAGGGATGAATAGGGGTGGGGATGCGCGTGCGATGTATTAGGTACGTATCGATCGTCCGTCGCGCCACGCGCGTAACAATAAGTGTACCGTACACGTATAATCATGTTTGCCGTGTGCACGAGGCGCGTAGGCCAGGAACTGTTGCTGCGATCGAAGCGTTCGCGTGGTGATATCCGATTATGAAATTGCGTTCTACTCGCCATACAACAGATACGCAACATTTTTCCCGCTACCCTTTGTACTATACTCTTGTTCGTCGTGTGCCAATAATTTCGAGTGTTGTTTTGATTTTACATTTTACTCTTACCAGTACATGAAGCGCGCAAGGAGTTTCAGGATACCGATTGCGTTTTCTCAAATCCATCGGTCGCCTGCCATACATCTGTGTTTTGTAGTTCCCGTGTATGCACACGCCTCAAGGTTGTGATCATATTAGTACATAGTAGTTGTATTCGACGGGTATGTCGAAAAATGTCGCAGGTTGTCGTTCCTTGCACAAGGATGTTAGAGGATAACCGTCAATGACGATTTTACGTTTTTTGTGTATATATAAACATAACATATCACTAGCCATGTATAGTATAGATAATGACTTATTGAGGACACTGCTTGCTGGATATTAAGTCGGGTCTGTAACTGATCATCGTACCAAAGCGAATCCAATAGGGTGCCCAATTGTATTATGCTGTGTTATCGTAATAATATCACGTTCATATTTCTCCGATATATAATTATGCGCTATTTCACTATCCAATATCACCACGTTTATACAGTCTAAACCGATTTATCCGGATTCGAATAAGCTTATTGCCGCGAACGAGTTAAGTGCATACGTGAACGGCTGTTAATTCGAACCGAAGTTAAATCGGTTGATTCAATGCGCATGTTCAATTTTTACCCCAATTCCAGGGGTATTTATTGGCTCGCGAACCGTAATTCGGATTTTGATTCAATGCGAATTTGGTTAAGCTAATTAGTATTCACGGACGCATGAGCAGCGTACAAGGGTCAGCAGGTACAGGTACAATATCATCGTGGGTGTAAACTCAAGAACGCGGATGTGACGGGGTGGATTAGCAGCCGTTAAGGACGAACGTGAAACGACAACTGTAGGAGTATTGCGACACGAGAAAATAATAAGCTCACGCGTTTCTTGTACTGACAGACGGCCCAAGTTAAATTTTCGTCGGTGAATAACACGTAACGTTCGAAACAGCAACGTGTTTGATTTTAACTTTTGATACAGTTAAGACGGTGACCAAATCACAGAACGATTAGACACTGCTAGTGGGGTCCGAACGTTGCTGAATAATAATACGCGATATAAACTGATGTCCAAAATATCCATATTAAATCTTCCGTATACCATCTCGTATGAATATCTTTATTATATTTATGTGGAGTATTATATATATGAACTAGACTTAATATGTATGTTTCGGGCGCCTATCAAATATCCGCTGGATGAGCTGTATGGGCATACTCGTATTATTATCGCTGTGATCATTTTTTGGACGATTTAATTAAGCCCGTTGTGGCGTATCTCGGTCCAATGTGAAAAACGCATCGTAATCGCAGTGGCTTATCTCGGACCTGGGCAAAGTTTCGACCGGATCGATGTCCGTTATACGATCGATGTTATTATTATTTATTAATTATTAATTATAAATCACGAGATCACTAATAGAAATTACAATAACAAACACTCTTTCGGGACGTGTAAACATAAAAAACGATCAATGACACAATATTTTAGTTTTATTTACTTGGACGGATAATATTTACTCGTGCAAGTGCACTTAGGTTATGTGATGAATAGATGATGTACTAAGCTGATATTGCTAATTATTTACGAAAGTTAATTCGTTGGTTTACTGTTAAGTGGTAAGCACTTATTTAAATGTAACGTATAATGATACTTGATAAAAACATAAATCATTAATTTACATAATCATTTTATTCGATTGAGGCTAATGTACAGAAAACATTTTAATATGTCTACTATGTGACACTATGATTTAGAGACAAAACGTGTGCATCTCAATGAGACCTTTATTTTTGTTTTTTTTTCAGTTTTTAACCGGCATGCAAATGTACTCACTTACCTATACTGGCTGCAGGGGCAAACGTAGGAAAACATTTCATGGAGGTTTTGAAAAAATGAAAAATGTTGTTAAATAGCTTTATTACTCGTTATATCTCTTTCTTTTTGGAATACGCTCCGAGCATGATAAATATTTAAACTAATCATAACCGAAGGAGGTTTGTTCAGATGACTCTGATCGAAGAAGTTGCGTGGATGATGAATTATTCCTATATTTTAGAATATATAGTAATATAGTATTATCATTTGATTTCTGTTTTTCTATGAAAACGTTTCATTCAAGCACTTTGCCGCAAGTCTCGTAAATTGTGCAAATTATCCAAGAAACGTGTCCTCGGCAATATTTTCGTTTCGTATTCTATGAAGTCATCTTTTCCGCATGTAGGTGTTCTGCGAAGGTTTTATTTTTGCACAATTCGTGTAGTCATCAATAATTAAGCATCTTACACATGTATATTTATTATTTAGAAACAAATTTAATGTGTATATTCCGCCTACGGTATACCCCACGGCTCGAATTTAATATTCTATGCCATAATATCATCACGTAAAAACGGTATCTGTATTATTTGTCGTAGAAACGTTTGGTTAGACCGAAACGTTTCGTAATAAGTGAAAAAATATTTTTAAAAAATTATCGTTAAAAAACCTATTAATTTGTTGTATACCTATGCTAATAGCACAAGTTGAACGTTTATGTATTTAGTTATGTTTAAATTTCTATGAATACTCTAATAATAAATAGCTGCAATAAAAAACTCTTATACTGTCATACGTATATGGTATGTAGATAGATAGATCGAGATAATCGAGAAAGTATTATCACGTGATCTAAATGGGGGGATCAGAGGTTCAACTGAAAAACATAACATGTGGATTATATTTAATAGTTGGATGTATATAATATATTATTTGGTATTAAGATTTCTACGAGACGGATTTTGAACGCGTATACATTAAAAATTATTATTACTTCGGGTAAATATGCACGAACCGTTTTACACAATGTTTTATGCATTTTTATTGCGAATTTCAGTTATCATGAACATAAAGACGTGCAAACAAGATGCGCGTGTCTGATGACGTATTGTAAAAAACGATAGTGGTAATTTCGTTAAAAAATGTTGACAAAATAGTATATACTTACGCTGAATTAGATGTTCACGAGTTGAACAACGGTTACGATTTGCGACCACGAATTGTACAGGTGAATTGTTGGTATAACTCACACGAGGTCGGTATTATCATGTGACTTGAATACTGATTCGATAAGCGTCCTAGAAAATAAATAATAGCTGACGTGTAAAAAAAAAATCGCCACCGGTGCGCAATCCGTGAAAAGTGATTTTTTTTTATTCATTATTGTGGCAACCCATGTACAATATCGGATAATATTATGATGACTCGTTAAAATGGCTAATTTATGAACACGAAACGCGTAATAGAACTCCTGTGTGCATCGTTTATGTGAAACCTACAAATTTTAACCTCGTTCTCACATATAAATCGCGTGTCTGCAGTATGAATCGTTATAAAGACGAAAAGTTTATGTAATCAAAACGTAGAATGCTTATAGTATTAATATAAATGTAACCCTTCCACAATAGGATAATCCTTATTCATTTATTTACCATGTTATTTATAGTATATTTTTTTTGTTTATGTTTGTGTACACTGTTATACAGAAAAAACGGAATGATTTAGAATAGAGTTCCAGTTGATTTTTAGTATTGAATATATCGATAATATTTTAGAGAATTACAATGAACATAATCATTAATATTGTGTCGAAAAGGTGCTGAATAGACAAAATACAAGTAATTGTCAAATATGTACAAACAAAAGCTGTGGAGGATATTCCTGCCCTACTTAAAACCGTACACATATGTGTGATAATAATATTATTTATTACCAGCAGATGTCGTTTAAAGAATGTTAAAAGAAACAACGTAGTTTTCGGACAACATTTAAAGAACTTGTTTGGCGGCGCGGTGCGGTATGCGTATTTGCGATCTATGAATAATATTCATTCTATCTGGTGCAGCGTAAAAATATTTTTGACACAGACTGCACTCGACCTTAACGCGGCACTAAATGCATATTGTACATCGTTATACTTTGTATTGATAATTTGGTCGTTGACAAAATAAAATCAAAATTATATGAAAATTATTGTGACTTCGGTCGGAATGTAAATACGTGGATACGTTTTAAAAACTTTTATCGTATGATATACCCACCGTATTTTCAATAGTTTAACTTAACGCGTGAGACAAATTGAATAACCGAAAGCGTATGGACTATAATAAAAATACACGTTTTTTATTTTCCACCGCACATTCAGTAGACGTGCGCGTAATGAGTGATAACTATACAATGAAGTCGAGAGTAAAGTTTACAGACCCCTTAATTATTTATTACCTCGTGGCGGCCACGAATTTGCGTACGATGGCGTTGGGCGCGTTGCTGCGCAGGATCGACGGCAGGGACCAAATCGTCGTCTGGCTGTTTGTTGGATTACGTCACTACCAGATTTTTGGCTACGAGCCCCGAGATTCCTTTTTATAAATACATTATATACTCTAGTGTGTGCGTGTACGTTGTGTACCATACGTATGTATACATACACACACACACACACACACACACACAATTTAAAGGTGCGGTCTTTCGGTTTTTTCCCTCGAAATTCTTGGCGGACCCTTTTGGACGGAAATAGACGTTTCTTTAATTATAGAGATATAGACAAACAGAACCGGCAGTGGGCGCTCCGCGGTCAGGTCCGACGCATACCGTAAACAACTGCGGCCACGGTTCCCTTCGGCGTTGAACTTCGGCCGTTGCGGAGTGTGAAACGCTCGGCTGCAGCTTCTGCAGCAGCGGGCACTTTACGCTACAGAACTGTCGAGCCGTACCGAACAACGATATCGTATACGGTCGCCGCCAATCAGGTTTCTCGCAAAACGGCGACCTTCGCACGCGTTCCACGGGGTTATATTAATCGGACGAATTCGTGTGCGTTTGTGTTTAAACAACATTTTCCTGTACAGATAACGCGCAGGAAATGTGATTTTCGGCGTTGTTCCTTGTATAAACACCGCAATTATCTGTGTTTGCAAATCGTGTGTATAAACGATGTATAAACAAAAAAACATGTGCGTTGTATATACCTACCGACCTACGTGTTCATCGAAATTCCGAATCGACAAACTGCTATGGGGCCACGTGTACTGCTTGCGTCGAATCAACACGACACTTCGTATTATAGTACAAATGCGTTGAATAAAATCAACACGTTTCTGCGCAGACCGATGCCAAAGCGATTACCATCCGGTTTGTAACTCCGATTTTCCGGTGACGTACGGTTTTCCCGAGCCCTTCAAAAACTTATTGCGAAACTGTTTCTTTGAAACGCAATAACATCGTTCCATTTAAATGTTCAATGTATACGTGTTAATGCAATGAGAATCAAAAACAAACATTTACTTAGGTTTTCATTGCAGTATGATTTTTATAATATACAAAATAACACGACCGTCACGGTCACACGTGTTAATACCGTACTTGGATTATGGAACAAAATTCGGTAACGCCAAGGTAGTGCTGTAATTTACGCGACGTAAAATCGATACCATGTATATATGATAATCATTTTATACAGAAACGATTTTTAGAAAAATAAAATACATAAAGTACGCCAGTGGGCGTGATTTTTCATCATAACCGCGCTTGATCGATCCAAATCTTAAATTAGCATTCGCAGCCTATTTTGAGCTAAAAATATTGTTTGAAGATAATTATTTTTGCGTATGAGAGAACGCGAGTTCATTGAAGTTTGTGATTTTTACTGTTACGGCAGTACTAATACTACTCATCCAAGCGCAGTGAATACTGCGAGGATCCCGTATTTGGTTTTTCGTGTTGCCATTACAAAACGCGTTGCGTTCATAATTTTGTTTTGAATTTAAAAATAGTACATGTCAGGTGTTTGCCCCTTAGGTGGGAAGGGAGGTAAATAATTGTAGTACTCTTAATCATCGGATATTAGAAAAAAAATGTACAAGTGTTATACCGAACTATTGGATCACGGAATACGGGCTGCATGATCAATGCGACCTTAACCGCGGTATAATGAATAACGGTTGTTGAGCATAACGATTTTTACGAACGTTTTGGCACGTCCCGCGAACGTCGGTGTAGTCGAATTCGCCGAGAGTCTGTTGAAACAATAGATATTACTTTAACAAGTGGGAAAAATACGCGTTTTTGTCTCGGACGTTGCCGCCGCCGCCGACCCCTTGGCAACTCACGCGCACCGCGGCGGCGGCGGCTGATCTCGTTATCGTCTCGGCGGTGGCCGCGCAAGATCAATACGACGCGCGGCGCGCTGCTCCCGGCGTCGAAACACGGTTTTTTCACCACGATACGGCTGCCGTCATCTCGGGGGCGAGTGTCCCGGGCCACACACCTCCCTTCCGTATACCACCCCCCGGACGAGAACGTGGCGGCGTGTAGCACGTACGCGATCGAACACGTTTCCGCCGCCGCCGCTTCCGCGTTGTTACAACACGCGCGAACACGGCCCGGCGGGAAAGCAAGAAAACACCCGTGGACCGGCAGCGCAACGTTTACGCATCACGGGCTCATAAAGAGACGGCCAACGGGAAGGGGGGGGGGGGGGGGCTGCACGCGACTGCACGCGATCCGATTACAATAATATTACGTTATGGTCCGAACACAAAACACGTCGTCGTCGCGGCACGCGAACTCGTGGCCCCCCGCACGAGTTGAAAACGTATATCGCGGCCGGCGGCGCGGTTGCCGGAATGAAATATATCAATCGTACACTGAAAACCCACGGACCCCGCGCGTCGATTGAAAAACTTACCAGTGAGCGGAATTAAAGTGCGTCCGTACTCGGGACGAGTGCCACTTCGACGTAATTACTTTATTACGCGAGTGGCGTAATTAATGTTCTCGCTGGGTGATGTCTACTCACGAATCACCCTAAGAACTAAACGTACGTATTTTTAGTTCGAAACATAGGTATCCGGCCAAAATAGCGAAACAATAACCGCGAATTAATAATGGCGAAAATTAAAACCGTGAATTTTAAAAAAGAGCGAAAACCTACGATTAAGCATTTAGCGATAATAATTCTGAAAAAACAATTAGTCGGTGAAAAATTATGTGCTACACCTACCATTTACAAATTTCTTATTATCATTAGTAATATGATTTGTATTTAATGAATGAAGTCTTTTAGCGCAGTTCTTGTACTTTTTTTTTATCTCTGGTCATTCTCCTGCGTTATACTGTTCTCATTTTAATTCTTCTAAATTTTAAATTTTCTTTATTACATCAATACATTTCCGTATAGTAAGGTTATGTTTCCTGCTAAAGAACATTTATTATATTATTAAAAATATTAATTATTAATAAAATAGTTTATAGTTTTACACTTTTATAAGTTTTGAAACTTATCCAATTAATATATTAAAATGTATAGTATTTAAAATAGAAATTATGAAAAACTAGTTTCGCTATTATCAAATCCGCGATTTTTATGTTCGCTGTTAATCGTTTCGATATTTTGGTCAAGAACCCAAAACTTAGCTCAATCAAGGTGAATAAAATCACACCAAAAATTCAGTTCAACATTTCAACAAAGTATTTTCGATCATATTCAACAAATCAAATAGATTATTTCCAAGGGAAAGTGTGCGAAATTATATGATGCCTGGTGCTCTCTAGGAAAACGTTTTAAATTGCACTTGGTACTTGGTCACGCGATGCACTCGTGTGATTTGTTGATAATAAAAACTAATCGATTGTTAAAGCATTTCAGTAATTGTTCGATGTACTCCACGCAACATTACACAAATCGACTTGAACGCAATTACATAATATACATAGCGTTATATTTCATGGTCTTGAATTTTTGAAATTCATCAGTTTTTCAATTGTTACGATGAGTATCGTTCTCAGGCGGCGGCTGCCGTCGCTGTTCGGAAAACGTAATCAATACAGTACGCGAGCACAACGACATTCGATACACGGGTGCACCGAAATTGCATATACAGCTCGCCTCGCAACATAACCCGTTAGCCATTCGACTGCTGAGTTTTGTTCGGTGTGAACAATAAACGCATTCGGCGCGTTGTCGCAACCGACGTGAACGTGTTTCTGTACGGCTGTGCACGCGCGCTTGTAATGACGGTGATGAACTGTTATGTATGTTTTTGGTTTTCCGTTACGTCTACGTTTTCGTACGTTATCACTTTTGTACTTGGTGAACCCGCGTACGATACGCGGAAGTGCACGCGTTGTTACGTTCGTCGGGAATAACGTTCCGTCACATCGCGCGTGTACGTGCGTACCGTTCGACGTGTTCGCGTTGGGTTAGTTTACCGTGCGACATGATTTATCGCCGTCGCGTGATCCGCGCGACAATGCGCGTACAACGCGTTACAGCTCGTCCCTGGGCGGGACCGGGAACGCGGCGCGCGACGACCGTAATTAATCGCCGCGTCGAAACGGTAAAAGGACGGACGATTTCGCGGGCAAGCGTGACGTCACCGGTTACACAATCCGAGCTGTTGAGAGAACGCGGGCGCGCCGGTTGCTGCCGCGCACCAAGTATTGATCGGCCGAGAGAGGCCTTCCCCGGTTGGAGGTCAAGCCCGGACGGCGTTGCATCGCGCGAGTTCATTGGTCTTGCCGTGTATGCGTGCGCGTGCTTTGCGAAACTCCAAAATGCGTATTCGTGTGTAATCTTAATATATATGTATATATACATATTTATATATATATATATATATATATACATACACGTCACACGACCTTCACGAGACAACGCGAGCTTAATGGTTTCTATTGTTTACACATGACGTTTTTTTTAACTCTACACGGCGATGATTTGTTTTTAGGCAGTTCATTTTTCATTTTTTTCACCTCGACGGGCGCGCCCGTTCAACGCGCACGTTTTAATGACACGCAAGATTGTTTTATTTTTACTTTTATTCCAACGTTCTACGCGTTGACCTATAATATTATAAACCGCGACGAATTCATTTTGGCGGCACTTACCGCGTCCGCCGTAGAACGTCTCGCGATGACGTCAAGCGTGTGATAACGTACGCGTTTTATCGGTACAGTTTTAAAAATAATCACGTTTAAACAAGTCTCCGGATATTTATAGGTTCGTCGAAATATTTCGCCTATTATAAACATCCAGTATGCGCTCTAATAGTACGTACATTGCACATGCATAGCGCTGTACCAATAATGAATACAATTCTGTCCGTCAAACAGTTGTTGTATTCAATACGTTTCCCTCTGTTCACGTAATTTCATTATTTACAATTCGGATTCAATTGTTATATGTGTTTGGTACATTATATAATGCTATTATTTTTGTGATTTCAGTGATGGATGCCAAAAACCGAATTCACCAAATGAAATGTCTACCATTACCACCGTGCCCGATCCATTTGATATGTTTTCAAAAGTTATGGTACACAACAATAATGTATCCAATAATAAGTTGAAAGCATTGACATGAAATCGATAGTTGTAAATTACTACTACGATATTGCTTATTTTCTAGGGATACGAATGTGGCGCGAAATATGAAAAAAATAATAAAGCATTGATAAAAGAAGACTTTTTAAAAACATCAACATTGTTGAACCAAGCAAAAAAGACAGTTAGAGATACAGATTGGCATTTAAAAAGACTGAGTGAAAAAGTATTGCCAAGGTGCCAGTCTGCAGATATTACCTGTGACAGAATTAAAAGGTTTTTTTTTTATTTTTCAAATAAATTATACGTTTATTTTGGTTTAAGAAATATAAGATTAGAAAAATCTAGTATATAGAATTTACTAATATATATTGTTAAATGTGTTCAAATCAGAAACTGGAATGAAACCGAAAATAACTGGTTTTAGAACCAGCACCTCGGTTAAAATATAGTATCCTAACCTTTTACGAACTTCTAATACAAATTTTAAAGAACCAGAACCTTGGGTGGAAAAACTTTGTTCTTACGATTCTTATAACTAATGACATCATTTTTTATCACACAATTGAAAAAAAAATAGTTATTTTATATAACATATATCGTTTATCTATTTCCTATACATTCTTATATATTTTATTTTTTTTTTTTTTTAGGTTAGATTAGATTAGATTAAGCGATTAAGCGTACATATTGAGCGATACATTATATACAATAAGTAAATTTTATAAAGAATTATAAAACAGGCTGTGAATAACTTAAAGGAGACTCGCAGTTAAGTTACCTTTTACTATGACTTAATGTGTTATATACTGTAAAATTATGTTTTATAAGGTAAATATATCTCCAATTGCTTTTGAGGTGTCTGGTAGGGATGCCTAGAAATGTATTTAGGGCCAATTATGAGATAAGATAGTTGGAATTCGAAATAAGTTTCCTGATAAACCTTTTCTAGATAATGATAGCTATATCATGAATGGTTTTGATTTGGAGGTCATCGTGTAGTAGTTTATTCATTACGTACCATGAAGATTTTGCACTGATATGCAAATAAATAGATTAAAGGACTTGAATCTTTTGTATGTTTGAATATTTGGTCGGGCCCCAGAAAATGCTATCCATATGGGAAAGAGAAAACTTTTGTAAACAAACAAGAAGTTTGTTTTGAGTGTTGATTAGACCTGAGTAAAGGCCTTAGTAGATGGAGTCTACTATTTACCTGTTTTTGATTGTCCTTGAGGTGAGGAACACATATAAGTTTTTTGTCTAGTATAAGGCCGAGATATTTTACTTTCAAGAAATGAGGTTTGATAAAATCGTTCAGGACGATCGGTGAGCAGTCATGTAGTCGAAGTAAGAAGGTTATTTGTAAAGATTTTGATTTATTGATTTTATTTCCCCATTTATTGAACCATAAAATGAGGATTTTTTAATGGGTTTGAATTTTTCAACTGGCAATAGTAGGGCTTAAATTTGAGACGAATATATCTATTTTATCGATACATATATTCCAATAAAATTGTTGTCAGTTATAAATAAGTTAAAATTAAAATCGCATTAAACCCGCATTTTAATTTTTTATTTTCAAGTACCAGAATCTCAACCAAAACCGAGATTTTATATTTTTAAGAACCGAAATCGTTAAATCGTAATGGTTCCAAGCAAGGGCGTGTATAAGGTTATTTATGAAGGAGGTTGATACTAATTATTTTTGTTATTACATATATATTTACCAACTCTCCTTACCTACGTCACTCGTTCCAAGCCTTGGTTCAAATAATAAAAACATTTAGAAATTGCAGTAATGATGCATTAATTACTTTATTTTAAATATTTATATATAAAGAATCATATCTTAATATGAGAGTTTTTAGATTTTAATGATATTTAAGATTTTTATACGAATTAAATACGATAAACTCATTTTAAATGCATTTATTAACTAACATTATTAATATTAAGTTATACTGATCAATATCACAAAATAATTGTGTTTTATTTTTCAAAATATCGGCTATATATCCGCCACCTGGAAATGCCTTTATGCAATGCTTCAGGTGATAGGCCAACCTAACCTAATCTAACCTAACGAAGTGGATTAACAAGTGTTCACTGATGTTATCGAACAAGACTTAATTTAAGATTATAATTACTTATTTTATAATTCAACCGACTTATTTAAATTGATTAATTAATCTAAGTGTATAGTATACATTTTTTTTTATTTTTTTATTTGTTTTATTAAGAAACTTTGTATATGTACAATTTATTTCGACATTTAGAGATATAAGTACAATTAGGTATTTACAATAATTTATTTATTTAAACGGATAAGTATACATTTTAAGTACGAAACTTTTTTAATTTTTATGTTTATCAAATTTCTATCAATCTTTATCAATTTAAAAAATTGGTAAGGTAAATAAATGTATTGTATTTTTTAATAACTAACATTTATAGAATAATATATGGTTTCTATGTATAGATATGAAGATGTTCCATTAAAAACTAAACGGCAATTTGATCCTAGTAATAAAAAAATATCGGTAAAATTTTAATTTAAAATAGTTTTTGTTATTTTTATTGGTGATTATTTACATATTACATTTTATATTATATTTTAGAGTGAATATTTTAATAAGAACAATGAAGAATCAAAATTATTTCCTCCATCCAAGTCCATAAATCAAAAGAAAAATGTAAATTTAATAGAATTTTCGAAAAATGTATCTAAAGCAAACGATTCTCAGCAGCAGCCGAGCTATACACTTCCTATATTACCTAAATTAACAGAAAAAGAAGATGAAGGAAAAAGTGACATCAGTAAAGTGAATATAAATTTCAAGACTAAAATTGTTTCCGATAAAAACGAAATAAACGATTGTAAATTCAAAAACTTAACGGTTCTACAAAATCCCTGTATCGATGTAAAACCTGATTTAATTACTCAGAAATTAGCCAACATTCAAATTGTATCCGATCGTAATAAATCCTTATGGTACAAATAATATTAATATACATTTGTATACAATTATTTTATTTAATGTTATTACATTTTTTCATTGTTTTATTTAGTAACTGCAAAACAAATGTAGCTTATCATGAGTTCACATATGAATCAGAGCTAGAAACATCTTGCAAATGTCAATCTATGATTCAGCCAAAAATAACTAATGATAAAGTAGAAGCTCGCAAAGAAATACATAAAGTTATTTGCGAAATGTTGGATGACACATCAAAAGATTCTCTAGACGATCAATTAATTAGTCAGTTACAGGAAATAATGGCTAAGTTAATAGAAACAAAGCCCTTGGAGTTTGAGGATTTAAATGAATTAGAAAATTTTGTTGATGAACATAGTGTGATTGGTTATAGTAAAACTGCCATAAAAAATAAACTATTAGAAATAGCTAAACATTTACACGAAAACGTTGATTATGGTATCTATAATTACAATAACTATTAGTATTTTGTTGTTTTATTTTGAATAAAGTGAAACTATATTTTACAGGGATTTCATTTGACCAGTTGGCCGCAGAAATTGAAAAAGATGCTCATCTAGTATTAAAAAGAATAGACAAAATTAAAAACTCAATTTTGACTATAAATCCATCGATAGAATGTCCAGATCTCTCAAATAATTTAAATAAATTCAGTAATATAAAAGATGCCCAAGACATCACAAATCGTCATCCAATTAATACTATAAACACAAAAAGTAAATATAAAATATATAATTTTGGTTTACGATTAGTAATAAATAATGATTCTAATAATTTTTTTTTTTTTTTTTTGATAGATATTCATTCAGACAAACATGTTAGTGCTGGAGAATTATTACGCTATTATTCAAACAATTTTTCCAGTCCGAAAATGTATAGTATAAGTTATTTTAAAAATAATTTCACTGATAAATATAATATTAATGATGGGCATATCCGGATTTAAGAAATCCGGATTTCATGGATTATCCAAACTATCCGGATTATTCAATTCAATTTTGCTGTTCAATTATTCATTTTTATATTTACATAAATTTACCTTATCTTCAGAAAATCTTATTCATTATAACCATTCTAAGGTTATGCAGTTAAGATAAGTTAATTGGGTATTCAGTCATGATATCACTGTAAGCATAGAGGTATAAACTCAACAATTTAGTAAATTATAATTTTGGTAACTAATAATACATTATAAAAACTGTTGAAATCATGATAAGTAAATTGAAATTCTTAAAATATAATATTGATTTTTTGTTACAATAAAATAAAATAATTTATTTTACTAGAAATTAAAAATTATAAGTTATATAAAAATCAAATTCATAAATCCGAATAATCTGGATGCTTCGGCAAATCCGGATAAAAATTTGTTTCAAATCCGGATATTCGGATTTCATGCCCATCCCTATATAATATACATAAATATTTACAGGTTCAAAAGTTCAACTGTGTTAAAAGAATTTGATTCTCCGACATTACTCTTTACGGATTGTTCAAATCAAAATCCGAGTGAATGCAATAACTTAACTACTCAAACTGAGATGATCTATAAAAACAACTCTCTTAAAGTAATACATTTATATAAATATAATATAAATAGTATACGTTTGTATTGGTACGAGAGTACATTGCGGGCGGGGGTAACTAATTAATTTCAATTTTAAGTATTGATAGAAAATATGTTTTGGTGACATTGTTAATAATTAGTATAAGCTGTTGATAGTTCCTATTTTTCAATATCATGTACTTGTGTGCAAAAAATACACCAAACCCTGATTCTTTCAACGTCGCAAAAAATGATCGTACAATATTGAAAAATGTTTAAGATGAATTGTCAATGTTACAGTCCAATACCATAATTGGATTATATGTTTACAATGGAAATCGTATACGATTTGGACATACTGAACATACTGGAACAGCGATAGAAATCAAATTTCAAAAATATAAAAGAAGCGTCTTATATAGAAATAAAAAACTACTGTTGGTGAATACAGAGAATAAAATAATGCCATTATGAGTTTGGTTTAACTGTTTGACCGTTTTACACGAACAACAACACTACCCGAAAAAAATGATTTATTTAAGAAGCCGGAAGGGACGGTTAATACTGACCAACTGGGTTATTGATTATTTTTTTATAGTAAATGGTTTTATCTCCGATTCTTACTATTTATATAGATATGCTGTCGTTTTTTCATTCAAAATCTATTCATATGGTCTTATAAAATCAGTTTCTTTTATAAAAAGGTGGCTAAATTATTTTTCATTTTTTGCTCGTTAGAAAACTTTACCTACGTTACCGTAATATTATTGAAACATTTCTGATATAATGTTCAAAGCAGAATAATAACATATTATGTGAACATGCGAAAAAAATTATTACGCAGCAAGTTCAATTCCATAGATAATCTATGATAATGCGATTACATAAGTTAGTCACCAAAGTGGTAGTTGTCAGTTTGTTAACTTGATGATACGTTAGCTGGCTGATACATGACACGCAGTCATAACTCAAAATCGACCAATTGTTGATAAATTAATCAATTGATAATGCCGTATATTATCGATTCCTTTATGAATAATGTAAATTATAAGATGGTCATCAAAAAATCAGAAAAATCAGTGACGCCAATAATTGTAGAGTAATGAAACACATTTCTGAGCCCTACCATTGTAAGAATAAACTAAATACTATAACCTTTTGGATGACTATAAATGTACAAAGATTTCCCCATATTTTTACTTCAAGAATTGAAAAACAAAAATGTATATTATTATTTAATATAAACTTGATAATATATTTTTATTGAAAGATTTACCTTACATCAATAATTATAATAATAATTATATTAATATAATTATTACTATAATATTTTTATGATTTATAATATTGTCCAGTTATCTTATCAGATAATCAACAATACTTTCTATTTAAATTAAGATTTATGCAGTTGAGACTATTTATGAAGTAAGTACTTAGATCAAATTTTTCAGATTCAGCAAAAAAAAAAAAAACTGCAAGACATAACAGATTATGAATTAATTGTAATAAAAACTATATAGTCCTTATATAATTTATATTGTTGTCACAATTATTTAATAATCTCAAACAAACTGTTCAGTTTTTTTTTTTTTATCAATATTTAAATTTTTTTCTTAATTAGATATATCAGTTTCTATTTGTTTGTATTTACGAATATAGATTTAATTAAGAGAATCTTTATTCTGTATCAAGAGAAAAATAAATATCTACACAACGAAAAAAAAAAAAACTTATAAAATAATAAACTCCTTATAATTTAATATCTTCCATCATTTGTACACTTAACTGCAAAATCGCCAAACATTCATACACTAATTTGGATTTAGATATTAACAACTAATAGTGAACAAATTGTCATTAGTGCAACCAATGACTATTTTTTAGATTCATGGGAAAAGATATTTGAGAATATCCATAGAATTTATGTAGATTTTTTTAACTAATATTTAGAAAATATTAATAAAATATCAACTCTTTCATTAATTATATACTATGTTTACACCTCAATTGTAAATAATTCTAAAATAATAATTAATATTATCTACAATCATAGTTTACACTTAAAATAACAGAACTCTTAATTAATGTTGTATAATTTATATAGTCTATAGTATAAATTAATATTATTATTGATGAACACAAAATGAAAAATATATATTTTACATTTATTTGGTATTATACTAATATTATTTATTCAATATATATATATATATATATATAATTGTATATTTTTGAAAATTCTATTTAAACCAAACTTTATTATATTAATATTTTTTAGAAATATCAACTAGAATCTGAAAATGTACATCAAAGTAAAACCACATCATTAGGAGAATATGGTATTTTATCACACCTATCGAACAATTTAAGCTTCAAATTAAAAACACAGCTGATGCCATTTGAAGAATATTTAAATAATGATCAGGTATAATTTTTAGAAGAGTTGTTTAATAAAATACAAAAGTGAATATGAGCTTATAGTAAATATTAAATTATGTACAATTTAAATAGAAAAATAATTTTACAATTAATGAAAAAAACTGGGAAGGTGATAATAATTTAAATATTAATGGAGTAGATACAGATTCTTATACTACCAATAATGAAATGGAATTAATGAGTAAGTTTTTAATATTTATATCTTATATTTGTATTGTTTAAAATATATGTCTAACCAATTTATTTAAAAGGATGTAATCTGTTAACTAACCATGAAGAGCATGAAAACTTGTTAAACAATAACAAAAATACTGAACATCCATTAATCAACAGCCAAACTATGGATCTTAAACGATTATCATCAAATATTGAAGAGTGTGAAGAATGGAATTTAAATTCTTTATTATTGACACCTTTTCCTTTCAATAGTATTCAACAAACCAATATACCTATTAATTTTGAAAAAGATGTATCAGAAGATTCTACTACTAGTACTACTTCAATTATTTCTTCTACGGTATTAATAAATATTTCAATTTTTATTTTGACTGCATTTCTATTTTATGTATATAGCAACCATACATACTTATTTATATCTACATTACTTTTTTTTCGGAAAATATTTCTGATTGTCCTAAATAAAGGTTGAAATACATACAACTGTTACTCCCCTAATTTTTCTTACAACAAACATATTTTAAATTTTAAATAAAATATAATATCATAAAAAAAGTGCAATTTGTAAATACATAACTATTACCTTATAAATGTAGAATATGTTTGTTTCAAATTAAGTAAAGATTTCTATGATTTATTATATTATTTCATAATAAATAGGAACTTTTTGTTTTAAATATGTAATTTCTATAGTGATAATAACTCAGTAACTTTTAACTAAACATAATTCATGGTTATGAATTGTTAACTTTAAGTGATTTATTACATAATATCTCATTAACTATATGTCTAGATGCCGTCAAAACAATCCACTCAAGATGTTCAAAGTGATGCAGAAAGTTTAATTAGTTTTGGAGAAATCAATCATATTAATAAATTCCACAATGTTTATTCCGATTCGTCTGCAGGTGAAATAAAAAATAAAAAATGATTTTATTCAAATGTTTTTACAAAATAAAAATTAATGTGTACAACATAAAAATTACAGAGAAATCAATCATGTATTATACTTATTATATTATTAAAATGTCGTTAATTGTATTAAATTATAAATGTATAGAATAATTTTAAAATAAATTCCTTATTGCTTCAGTTTTGTTATATTAAGTGCAACTGTTTTCAAATGTTGATCAATGTGGTAATAATTTAAAATTGTTCAAATTTGCAGACATATTTTTATAACCAAAGAAATCATCTATATATATATATATACTTATTAATTAATTGTTACAACAAACATTAAAAAAATGTCTCCCCTGCATAGGCGGAAATCGGGGGAGGGCTTGAAGGGACTAAGCTCCCCTGAAATATAAAGTACAGGTCTTTGTCCCCCTAGCCCTAAAAATTGTTCAGTGACTAAAAATAAATTGATTAGTATAATTGTAAAATGCATTTTTAATAACTGAATTAAAAACTAAAATTAAAAACCTCTGTGGGGGTTAACTCGCCCCCCCACCAGTTTGTACGCCACTGCCTACTCCAAAAATGTTTAAGATAAGACACCTAATTATTTTTTTGTTTAAATTGTTGATTAAAAATGTCAAATTGTCAAATTTCATAAATTGCCTTGTTGAAATAAATAATTGCTCACAATGTTATCTATAGGTATAATAACCAAATAATTCTCAGCATCCCCACAAATTTCACCAAATTTTCGTTTATGCTCCCCTGACGAGCCGCCCCTGGGTACGGTCGACGGAGAATATTATATTTTTAGAAACAGATTTCCGTTCTCTGTTATATTTATATGTTATATCATGGCTTACTAGAAATTATTTCACATATCAGAATTAGTACGTTATTGTCGGTACACAAAATCATAGATAAAACATAATTTGATTTTCAAGGGACACATTATTTTAGGCCGCGCCATATTTTCTAGAGCTATCAAGTCATTATCGAACAGATTTACGAAAACATAAAATGGTTCTTTTCAGTTTTCAACATATTATATCAAATTATGCAATTCCATCTACCTATATGTATCAGATATATTTTACCAAACTGATTTTGAAAATAACTGTAATCCATCAAGTACTGAAGGTGAATGGAGACCATGGAAAAGTAAATGAAAATTATTTTGTTTAAACTCATCTGACAGCGAAACTAAAAATAATGTAATAATGATGCATTTTCAACAATATATGTTTTGTTGAAAATAGTTTTTCAACACTAGGTAGAATTGAAATATTTATCAACTAATAAATCGTCTAGATTTGCGCTGATGACATTGTGATGATATGCACCATTCGACTATATATCATGTTATAAATAAATTGTAATGATGTTCACAACACGATTATATTATATAATATATATGGCGGTGTTCATCCCACCATACTTCCCTACATAACATGGGCACACAACCCTCTTGCCGGATTCTTGGTCACAGGCCGTCAGTGCGTGCGTACCGAGCTCTTAGCTGTAGGTCGTCAGGACGTGCATCACGCTTCTTGCCCATGTACTGTCAGTATGTACGAGTAGAGTTCTTTGTCATAGGTGCGTACCAATTGCCGGGATCCTCCGATGAGCTTGTGACGAACTACTACTGTTATAGTGTGATTATTGTATTTTACGTTTTAAGTTTTCTGTGCGAGTGTCGAATTTCGTTCATCTGAATACTGCGTCTGTATCGATTGATTTCAACCTCACTCCACTTAAAACTGAAAAAGCACTTAAAATAAAAATTATCATAAAATAAAATAAGAAATTCGATACCTCTAAAAATGTTGATATTAATTAAACCCGTGAGTGGGATGTGTATTAATACAGCAATGCGATATTTTTCAAGCTCGTTTTGATTACCGCGTCTTTCGGATTAGTCTGTGTTTGGATTATTGAGACCATACTGTAATTTGTAATATATTTAATCAATGCTAATATCAGTTACTACTTTTTCAAACCAACGGCGGGAATACAATTGAGATTAAGGGATATTTGGTTAACTGGTCAATGGTATACAACTACATGGAATATATTGAACAATAACCTCAAAATTACGCGTAAAACGGTTAACCCCTCTTCCCTGGCGTCATACCCGCGCCATCGCTGTGGTATCTCACGCTCCGCCATACTGCGTACCGTACCGCGTCCACTATTTTTTGTTTGTTTTTTTCTCCCCCCACCATATCGTTATTCCTCGCCGCGTTTCTCACAATTCCCGCTTTTATTTCCGTTGAAGTGTTTTACTACGTTAGCGTTCATCTCGAGCTGCCACGGAGAATTCCCAGTTATCAAGAGTGTAGCCATTCATATATTACGGAGTTTGTGATGCGTACGCACATAAGCGGCCGTCGTTGTTAATTGCTGTGATTGGTACGCGTTCAAAGGAAGACGTTCGCATTCATGTGAGTCCCGGCATTCATCGACTGCTGTCCTCTACGCTCTGTGCACACGCCTGCCGAGCGCTGCGCCTCTTCTGGTCTAACCACTGTCAAATTCGGCAAACACTCGTCTGAGATTTGCTTTTCGGCTACAGTGCCACCGTCCGCATTCACTCTTAAGTACGTACCGTTGCATTACCCATAGTATACTTAATCGCATTTTACAGGAATATTTCAACGTTAAAATGGAAAAACTTATTTTTTGAGGAAGATGTTATGAATTAATATAATAATAATTATTCCTAGATTTCTATTTGATCTCGATATTGTCTGTGTATTGTAGCCCATACATCCAATTGCTGCTTTTATTGATTGACTTATTGGATTGTATGCCCGTGTGGTCTTGTCGTTGTATGTTTTGCTAAGTTTAAGTTTGAACTCCAAAAGAAATACACTAACTGATATTGTTTTTAACACAATGCCTTGACTTTGGGTAATTCAAGCCCCCCCCCCTGATTGGTGAATTTTAATTTAATATGTATTTATGTATATTATCTGACTTGGTGTAATAAAAGCTAGTTTTGTGAACATTTGTTATGTGAGAGATACATCATCAAGTTTCTGAATTTTTCCCCGCATTCATTTGCTTATATTAATTCACACCTCTCTTATAATCTATGTGTCAAAAATTGCATATAAGTATGAAAGTATGATAATTGGGGAAAAGTATTGTTCTTATTTAATAAATTGGTAGCACAATTGATTTGTGTGCATTTAATTACATACATATTTCATAAACGATTGAACCTACATGGTAATTTAAACTACCTACTTTTATTTACTATATTATTTATTTTATAATATTTTTCTTTATATTATAAAATAAGCAAAGCAAAACATTTTAAAATTAAAGACCATAGCTAAATTTATATTGGGTTGTTATTGTTATAACTAACGTTACCACCTTAAATTATTTGTATCTAAGCATTTACTACTAATTACCATTAAAATAATTCTCAAGGGAAAAGCTTGAAAATCATTAATTATTTTATTTTATTCCTAGGTATCAATAATGAAAAAATTAGACGTCGGGAAATCTTCTAAATTAAAAGTAAGTGAGAAATACATGTTTTATAATAGGTATAAATTTGTAATATATGAAAATTGAAATATGTATTTATTTACATCATTTATATGTACTCATTAAATGTTGTCCGTCAAATTTTTAGTTTCATTGTACGTGGTTTATCATTGAACTGTAATATATCTTTTTATTTCAAGAAATCAATTAGTTATCAGTACAATTTATAAATGTTAGTTTTAAAAATAAATTTAAAAAAAAAAATGATTTTTTTTTAGAAATTTTAACATATTTCATTTATTCTGTCTCTAAAACGTAAGCTTATGATTACAATATGATGTCAAATGTATGTTTATATTAACCAAACATTTACTTTCAGTAAACTTCTGAATGTTAACTAACTGTCTCAGTTCAATAATAAATTATAAATATACTATTTAATTATGTTTTAGAATCTAATACATAATTAAATAGTATGAATATGGTCACAGCTAGGATGTTAACGTTATAAATATTATTTAATTTTTACCCTTTTGATGATATATTTCAAAAAAATATATTGATTGTTTTGTTTTTCTTGTATACTAAGAATATTACTAACTTGTTTTTTACACTTGTGGAAATTTTTTGTTATCTTTTAGATATATAATGTATTTTATGTAGATTATATTACTAAATAATTATTTGAAAAAAATGTTTGTAAAAGTATTAATTAATGCATTAGTTATTTGTCAGCAATTAATAGTATATACTTAAATCATATATTTTAAAAAATTATATACTCTATTATGAAGTATTTTTAAAGAAGGTTTCTATGTTGGTATCACTGACACATGTCTCTCAATTCATAGAGTACTGACAAATGTACACCTAAAGCTTTTTCTTATCCAATGACAGTTTAGTACCTTTTGTATTTGGTTTTTGACTATTCAAGTTATAAAATATTATTCTCTTAATGGTTAGTTAAATTCTTTATTTTATTTGTCAACATTTTTTCTGCTTATTTTAAATTGTCTATTATTAAGTGTAATATAAATATTTAGTTATTATTTTATATTATCAGATAATGCTCATTTATTTCATAAATTTTAAAAATGTATTAAGTTCTAAATTACCATTTATTGATTTATTGTTGGATACATTCCCATCATTCTTAACAGAATATGTGATAATTTTATCCATTGTTGACCTCTATATTTGGAAAAAAACTACTGAAACTAGAATTTAGTTTGAATTATCTTTTTTTCGTAAATAAAATAAGATTGCTCCTACTAAGTATATTCAAATCATTTTCAATATCATAATCTAAGTATTTGATATTTATGTATTTATTTTTATTTATGCATTCTAAAAATATCTTAATATTGGCCAATTTATATTGCAGGAATCTAATAATATTTTAGAATCGGAAGAAAATTTTGCTGGATTTGATGTAAATGATGCAACATTAATTCGTATTGAAAATAGTAAACAATGTGAGTAGAATATTGTGAATGTATAATTCTAAAGTTCTTATAAGTGTGTCAAGTTTATTACATTAAAATATTATATTTAGCTGTTAAAAAAGAACTTTATAAAGAAAAAGGTATACCTATGGAAGATGATGAAGTAAGCAGTCCTATTGTCAATAACAATCATTTTAGTAATAAGAAAAAACACTCCCAATCAAATGGTAAATAATAAATATTATCTTTTAAGATTTCTTAAAACTACCAAAAATGTTTGTACTTTAATTTTATTGTATTCATTTAATATTTTAATATTTAAGTATCTTCACCAGAAACAAGTGATACAAAATATGGTCGATGTTCTAATAAAAGAATTAAAAAAGATAATGTACGCACCGAAACAATAGAATCATCGGAATCTGATGTTCCATCAAATTTGGGTAAGTGATCAACATTCAATCAATATTAGTTAATGCCCTAAAGTTAGTTTTCATTCATAATTAAGTAAATGCTTTAAAAATATAAGATACCCATTATCTGTCTTTGTTTATTTAATAGGCGATTCAGAAATGATTCTACTTGACTGAATTAAATTTATGGTATTTAGGAAAATATTATAGTTTAAATTAGGGATGTGCCGATATCACTTATACTATATAAGTTTCTTATATATATATATAATTGATTAAAATATTAAAAATTAACTTATAACTAATACCATGAACCAATAGTATAATAAAATGTATATCATATATTTACTATGATTTCAGTTATTAACCTTATCAATAGTTAGCTATTTGTACTATCCATATTATTTAAAATTATTGATATTAAATTTAAAATGTATTTCGGTAGTTTTTTTTTTTTTTTTTTTGTGATATTAGTTAAAACATTATTTTAAAGAAAAAAAACTTATACTTAACTCACAATCTTTATTTTAAATATCATTAAATTCAAAGAAAATAATATTTAATAATATTACATTTAAGATAATTGACAACTGTTTTATTCTTCCATATATTTAATTATTCAATTTTATTAATACTTTTAGAACTTACAACTCCAACATTCAACCTTACTTCTACATCTAAAACCCGTCGTAGTACTGGTCGAAAACAGAATGTTGATATTAGTGATCCAATTTTTAAACTTCCTTTTGAATATGGTAAGTAAAATGTATTAACTTTAATGTATGTGTTTTTTTATGAGTTAAAATTATTTTTTAGGATGGAAGCGAGAATTAGTGTATAGAAATACTGGTGATTCTTCATCTATTAATAGAGCTAATAGAAGTGGTGATGTTTATTACTATTCTCCAATTAATCGAAAGCTTCGGTCATTAAGAGAAATTCAAGAACAATTGGATTCAACACTGACTGATGAAAATCCGTTAACTATAGAAAGTTTTACATTTTTAAAACAGCCTATTGGCATGAATGACCGAACAAAGGAACTTATTAGGGATGCCAATACTAAATTATCTAAAGTAATTAAATTAAATGTAAATATTATATTTTATTGTTGAGTATTTATATTTATATTCAATTTATTGTACATTTTAGGAAGATTCATTTGTCGGTGTTGCTGTTAAACCTAAAAAAGTAAAAACACCTGTACGGCCTTTTGATTATGAACTGTCGGATAATGAAAATAACAAGTCTGCAAGTAAAATGAAAATTGTTTTTAAAAATGTCAAGATGTCGAAATCCAAATCTAAAAAAGATAATAGTAAATATTTTTTTTGTAATTATTAATTTTTCTTAAGTTAAGTTCAACACTTGATATAGAAATAAAATTATATTACATTTCTGTCTTATGTTTAAAAATGTACATCTATTTCAATTAGTACAATAAATTTCCAAGCTGAATCATAAATGATGTAGAAACTTGTCTGTAAACACTTTACATACAGTTAGAAACTTGTTTATTACTAAATATTTATTGCCATATTGATTGAATTTCCTTATCTGTATAATTTAATTTGGTCAAACATCTATATAATTGATATTTTTTTTATTTATTTATTATTTTTAGTTAAATAATCATATTTAACTGATACTTAGTTATTATTATAACAATCTGTTTAAACAGTATTAAACCTAATATTCTGTATAAATTAATTTTTTTAAATGAAACAAACATCTAATTTTAAATCATAGTAAAAAATACCCTAAAAAGAATCAAATAAAATGTACAACTATATTTCTACATTAAGGGTTTACCTCAAACAGATTTAACTGTACCAATTGTAATAAAAATATATTTTACTATGACTACATTAATAAAAACATCTCTTTTGCATCATTTTGCTATATTATTCATAATTTTTGACAGGCAATGTAGAAGAGCCTTCATCTACACCAGAATATATAGCTGAAGATTGGCAAGCTATTCAATCTAGTGTAACACCTAAAGTATCATCGCCAAAAACTGATGATGCTGAAGTAAATGTTGACCATATTAAAAGACGGTAAACTATTTATTTTATTTTTCTTGTTGCTTAAATAGTTGTTTGCTTTGTAGTTTTTTAATTGGCTTTATAAATGTAATGCATAATTAAGGGGTTGTTTTCCTTACACTTCCTTCATAATCCTTCCTCAATCAAACCATATACGTGAATGGATAAAAATAGGTTGTCAACATCAGATGGAGAAGTTATTATGCAGGCCCCGTGTGGGATACGTTGTCCCAACAGCCATGAACCTGCTACTTTAATGTGTGCCCAATGTTTGGTCTATTATCATCCAGCTTGTGTCAATTTAAATGCTAGTCTAAAAATTGTTGGTTATGTATGCATAGTAAGTGAATACTATATATGTAAACAATTTTCATTTTAAGTTAAATATTTATTGGGTATTTTTTGCTTTTTTCCCTCCTCCTATTCTAGAATTGTCGATCCTATGTACGTAATAAAAATAAGCGAGTTGAGTCATCTCATTCTGTAGTTGGTGTTCCTGAAATAGAACAATTACGTGTTGAACCAATTCGTATACGACAAGTTCATCAGACATCAGACAGACCTAATTTTTTTATTGATAGAACACCTATTATGAAATCTGATGAATCCAATTACGAAAGTGATGATGAACGTAGTGATGAAAATAACTCTGTTTTAAAAACGATAATGTGTCAAGGAAATGTCATTGAAACAGCTATGGTCGATGGAATTTTTCATGAACAATATGTTTATGAAATGAAACAAACCCGAGGACCTAGTTTGATGACCTGTGTTGTTCAAGAGCCTAAATATTTAGATGAGTGAGTAAATATTTTATTTTCCCTTTTTTTTTGGGGGGAATGTAATATTGACCAGGCACACAGTAGCATTGGTCATTGGTCTTGTTTGTATGAATGGGAGTAAGTTAAATTTTCTTTTTTTTTTATTACTTTAATCATTTGATTGTTTGTTTTCAGATTTGAGCGGAAAGTCTACATTCCTAAATTCCTTTCAACCCCTATTTTATAATTAATATTTATTTCATACATGTTCTAAGGCCTATTTTTGTTTGCATGTTTAAAGCTAGTGGTCTTTATATGTGCCTGGTCGAGAACATAAAAACATATTTATGTGCTTGTCTTTATTTTAAAATCAATTAATTGTTAACTATCTCTTTTTTTGTCAAATTATTATAGAAACCCTGAAATGAATGGTTCACTTAAAGAAATGCCTTCTCATATGGCATTCATGGAATCATTCAATCACATGGTAAAAGCGATGAGATATGTTTTTAGTCATTTAAAAGTGCAAGAACTGTTATCAGCTTCCCGAGTATGTACTGCTTGGCATATAATTGCAATGAATAGACTTTTAGTAAGTAATATTTAACTTATGAGATATTTGTATATTCATAAAATATAAATTTATATTTTATCATTGACTTAGTCTTTTATTTCTATATAATAATAAACATTTTCAGTGGCAAAATGTTCGTTTAAAGAATTCTATGGTTTATGATTGGAATAAATTTGTTGAAACTATTAATAATCAAGGTACAGTTTCATTGGACTCTCGACGTATGTTAATGCCTTCTAAAGTTGATGAATTTGAGAATTTTTGGCTGCGATTTTCAATAGCTATTAAAAAAGCTACAAAATTAAAAACAATTGAATTATATAGATGTCCAACCCATGTAGTCGAAGATATCATTTATTCATTACCCCAACTTAGTGTACTTAATGCTACATCATTAAAGTAATACTTGAAAAACAATTTTTTTTTCTGAAATTTCTAATTTTATATGTTGGTTTTTTTTTTTTTTATATAGAAATCCAAATCCTAAAGATTCAAAAAATTCTAATGAAATTATGACTTTGAATTTGGGATATTTAGGACAACTGACAAACCTTACTGAACTAAGGCTAAAAAGTCCATGTGGATTAAAGTTATCAGTTCTTCCATCATTTGATAAATTAATAAATTTAAAAACTTTAGTAAGTTATGTTGATTATCAATCTTACTCTAAAATAATATAAAATTTACTATTTTTATTTTTATTTTATTTTTATTATTATTATTATTCAGGCATTAACCTCTATTAAATCATTCCCTGTCGATTGGTCTAGTAGTATGGAATCTATCTCAACAGGTTTAGAGTTTTTGGAGATTGGTGACTGCAGTTTTTTATCCAAAGATTTTGCAAGACTACTAAAAAGATTTAACAATTTAACTTCCTTGAGATTAGAAAATTGTGTTGGTAAATGGGAAAATTTTGCACAAGATGTTTTTATTGTAATCAGAAATCTTGAAAAACTGAGGATTTTGGAATTGATAAATATAGAATTCAGTAGCAGTGTTGAAGATGAATTAGAGAAATGTTTTGGTATTAAAGCTTTATTGATTATTCCTGCTTATGTGAGCCAAGTAAGTATATTATTATGATACTTTAAATACATATAAATTTTTTAGATATTATATTTAACTGATATATTATTATTTTAGTCTGCAACAACCAACTGTCACGTTATTGATTGTCTCAAAAAACTCTCTAAAACATTAACCCATCTTGTTTGGGGATTAACTCATGAGTTGCTCCGTGTAACTGACACATTTATTGCTCAATATCAACAAAATCAGCATTCTATTGGCTACAATTTAGAATTATCACATACTAAAGAACCTGGCAATAACCATATACCTATATTGCGAACAAGGAAACCGAGACTACGTCCCGGTGAAGAACCTGTTGCCGAAAAAGAAAAAGATAAAGACACAGCAGATAATAACGTTGATATACTTTCTGTTTCAGCTCTTGAAAAATTATTAGAAACTATGATGCTTGGTGCTAAAACTAAAGTAATTAAAATTCCTTTTAAAGGGACGACTCGAGTTAATTTAGCTGAACAGTTTAATGATCTTTAAAGATATATGTAGTGTTTCTTTTTTGTAAGAAATTTACAAATATAATTTGAGAGGTATTTTTTTTTTTTTTTTTTTGTTTAACTATGATGTGTAAACTTCGATATGAAGATATTAATGACATAATTATTTAATTTATTATTTTGTATAAATAATTACTGGTCACTAAGCCTAAATCGAATACGTAAAGTAAAATTGTCATTGTAATAATTTTGTTTCATTTTATTTAAGTAATTTTATTTTTATTATGTAAATAACTTAAAAGTGTACATCTTGCTTTCCATTGTAAAATAAAATGTATAAGATATTTACTCCAATTCAGATTCATGAACTTTTTAAGGAATTCAAAATGTTCTGAAACTATTTTTATGAATAATTATGTATTTTAATTACTGTATATTATTTTCAAAACCATTATTTAATATGATCTATTAAAAAAAAAAAAAAAAAAATGTCTAATATAATTATGTATATAATGTAATTTTAACAACTCGTGTACACACTTCATAAAAGGTATTCATTTAAAAATTAACCAAATTTAATATTTATAGTTTAAACTTGGTTGCAAAAACTTTATAAGAATTATTATCTATAAATAATTTACAAAATAATAAAAAATTAAATTAAAATTTAAGTTATTAAATGGTTAATACTCGTAAATTAATAAATAAATAAAATCTTAGGTTGGATTATTATATTTATAAAATATGATTGGTTTCAAATAAAAAATCAAAATTAGGTATAAATAAAGTCCACAAAATCGTAACTAAGTATGAAAAAAATATAAAAGATATATATATGTAGTTGTGTATACCTGACAAATTTTTCATACTAAACTTTTATCTATTTATTTGTTTCTATATAGATATTAACTATTTGTTTATTTATTTATATATTAAAAATGGTTATTAAAAGATTTTATGTAGCCAAATAAATATAAAAAAGGTGTTAGAGTGACTGGGTCTTAAAGTCTTTACCCTTTATTCTGTGATGGAGCAATTGTAATTTTCTGCACTTGAAATGTGAATAATGGTTGGTGTTACACGCATATTGGATAATGGAAATCTTGGTGTTCAAATGCATTACATATATTAATTGTATACACTTGACTGTATTTAGCTCCTATAGTTCTTGAAATTAGCATGAAACATGAAATATCTGAATTAATTCAGCATTAATAGTTGTTATGAAATAATGCCAGGTAAATTTACTATTAGTGTTAATCGATAGATAATCCAATATTGATATGTTCAATAATTATTTTTATATAAATCTGTATTTAAAGATAAAGAAAACTATGAACCATGAATCAGTGAGTATTTTGAAATAGCTTTTAATATAGTTGAGACAGAATGATAGAATTATACATATGAATGCACTGTGTAACAGAATTAATAAAATGCTTTTTTTTTATTTTATATTTTGAAATGTATACCTAGCAAGAAATTTGAACTAAGATCATATGATAAATATTTAGTTCACAAAAATAATTTTAAAAACAACAGTCGTTTGAAAAAATTACTCCATGTAGTTTTCAATCCAACGAAATGCATGAAACATTTAATACCGTCGGAGAAAAACCTAGGTAATTAATTGTTGTGCAGATTATTAAACTCTATGGTTAAATTTCGTTCCATCGATAGTTAGTAGTTATTATAATTAATAATGATTTATAACATCTCGTCATGAATGAAAACAACGTCCGGTTGTTTCAGAATTTATTAGTAAAGGCGAAAAATGAACGGATTTTTAGTGAAACCAACTTCTATCAAACTAAGCGTGATATTAAAGGTATAAAATGTTATTTACATATTCATATATATTATAATCACTCATGTTATCATAATAGATAGAACGTCTGAAATTATGAAGATAATAAATAACGATGCTTTAGAAATTGAAGAGATTTACAAGGATTACGAAACAAAAAAACGAGACCTTTTGAAATACAAAACCATTCTTAATAGACTTAATGTGGAAGAACAAAAACAAAGTTTGCCGACAAAAAATTACATGATACCGCTAAAATGGTTAAGTTATGACTAGAGCCCGAATTTATATGCATTTAAAAATTCAAATATGATGAAAATATGCAAAGAAAAAGTGGCTTTATATGCATTATGTTACACTTTATAAAATATGTTTTTTTTTTTTACCACACTTTTATACCAAATAAAATTCTAAATATTTTATCAAAAACAAAAAAAATTATAATATCCACTGTTTTATATTTCAAATCATTTAAATCAATCTAAAACTTTTAGGAAACTTAAAAACGAGATTATAAATAAAATAAAAAAATTAAAAAAAATACAAATCTTTTAAAATAATATTTTTGAAACTTAAAACCTATCATGTCTATTCGAGGCGATTAAAAAATTTACTTTGAATTAAAATAGTTCATTTATTAAAAACCATTAAATATGCATTTATAAACAAATATGCAAATGCATATAAATCCGGGTTCTAGTTATAATTTGTATAATTATTATTATGTAATCGTTTCTAGCTGCGTTAAATACACGATTAAAATGTATAAATAATAAGAATGAAAATGAATTGGCCGAGTATAATATGAACTTGAAAATACAACTAAAATCAAAGATTGACCATGGATTTAAAAAAGCCGGTAAGACACTCTCAAAAAGAGGTTTGGGCGTTTATCATATTTGTAATCATTTGAAAGCAACGCATTAAAAAAATTTCTCATTTCTGAACGAATAGATAAGATAAAAGATATTTATTTATTTTTTTTGCGTTTACAAGCCATTGAGGTTTTTTGCCGACTCCGTTAAATCTTAAGCTTTCGTGTTGAAAATTACCTATACTAATAAGAATTGGTATTTAATTTTAATGTGCAATTATACAAAATTAAATTAAATTTGCTTAGTAACACATATTATATTCTCGTTTGAATATGTTACGGTGAAAGATAATAGTTGGTAAAAGATTCAATAATGTTGGTAAATGTTTTAAAAAGAGCATTTTAAATTAAAATTTACTACTTTCACCGGCCAATGACGTCATTTACGAAGGCTATTGGTAAATGATGATATATCTCATATTTTTTATAATAATAATTCATTACTAGGGATTCCTGCGATAAAACTTATCCTATCCTCGCTGTACACTTTATATCATTTAATAGCTTACCCGAGTTCATGGTCCGATTTTTTTGGAACTACACAAATTTATTGTCATTGAACAGTCTTTAGATTTAATATCAGCCATCCATGAAGTTAATATTTCTTCTACATCCCTACTTGCTCATTCAGTTGATCCTTGGGTCTAGCTGTTTAGTATATTATAATATAATCTGTGATATTACTACGAATTGGAACAAATTATCAACAGTCATAAAACTGGGTTGTTTTTGCTCAATTATCTACGTACATTATTTTTGATCAACAGAGCTGTCTCATATGATTAACTAATTAACTTTTTTATGTAAATCACTCGACGTCCTTACACTGGCATTTTACTGCGAAGATACAGAGAAAACATTAATTTATATCATTTGATTGTAATTTTTTTATAAAAATATTAGTATAATTATATAATTATTAATTCATACCTTATATGTATTTTTATAATATTATAAAATTACTCATTTTTTAGAAAAAATTGAAAATATGACATTATATAGAAATATACATGGGCGCCCGCAAGAAATTTATCAGGGGGGGCATAATGAAATCAAACACAAAAAAAAATACATTAAAAAAAGTTTATTCCTTGTAAACTACGAATTGTGTTAGAATTATATGAAATCCAACACCAAAAAGAACATTAAAAAATATATTCCTTACAACCTAAAAAATTAGTTAAATAAAAACTGAAGCTATGTGTGCGTGGTGCGTCGATCGTCATAAGTGGTTTACACACTAGGCGATTAATGTAATACGCATTATTTTGTAGGTACACCTTATAATATATTGTTATTACGATCTACAACACCACACGGTACACACTAAAGTAAAAATATCGATAAAATGTTGATAAATCAAAATAAAAGTTAAAATATTCAACATTCTATTGAATTGCAGGGGGGGCAAATGCCCCCTCTTGTCCCCCCCCTCCGGGCACCCATGGAAGTATAATATAACCATATAAGTTTATACATAGCAATAATCAATGGCATAACTTATGTGTTGTAATATTATAATGTAGACTGTACAATAATTATATATACCTAACAAATTACGAAGTATCTTTTATAATTTGAATTTATAGCTGAAAAGGACAAATTGGAGTTCATCAAACAACAAATGAAAATTGCGAATGAAGAAGATGTACGTCGAAGAACTTGTCAAATTCTAAAGGTATATATGATAAATATAAAATAAAATATCAAATTAGACTCAATACTAAAAATATACGCATTAATCTTGGGTTTGATACTATTTCCTAGAAAACAGATAAAAGTGATGCATATTATATGTCGTTGTGCAAAATAATGTTTATAAATTATATTTTATCGGAAAATACTAAAAATGCAACAATAAAAGAATTGATAAAGACTAATAAAGTATTAAAAAAACGATTTCGCGATTCCTTAAATGTATGTATACCTAAATATATATATATATCAATAAAATTTAGTGTATAATTAATTATGGATTTTAAGTCAGAAAAATTAATGTATTGTGTAGAATTTGAAGATGGAATTATGTGAAACGAAATTTTGCAAATCTTATGTATTGTTGCGTCTTGATGGCTGCAGTTTTCGCACAGGGATCGATAAACTTGAAATTCTGCAGGTTGTAATGCTAATTATGTAGAATTTTTCTCGGGTGATCAATGATTTAATTTGATTTGTTGTGGTTTTTGAATTATGGAGGTTCGAATTATTGGGAGGCTACTATAATACGTCTTCGATTATACTGAAAACCAGAATTTTTAGATTAAATAATTATTTCGTGTATTGAAAAAATTATCTCCGACATAAAAAAAAAAAAATTGAAACCAGTTATTATTATTTTTAATTTAGGAAAGCATGGGAGTATGTAAGATCTAAGCCCCCAAATCCCCCCTAGCTGCCTTTAGATATAACTATATACAACATTCCAAGCATAGAGGGCGTTGTCAAAGCGCCTTTAAAAAATAATTAAAAATTAAAATTCTTTTTTTTGTTAATTTATTTCATATTTTTATGGAAGTTATTGAGTGTTGATCTTATATTAAGAAATATACTTTTTTAAAAATTGAATCTTATACTTCTATTTTATTTAATGTTGTTAATTTATAATTAATTTAATTTTGGAATTAAAATATTTCATAAGTACGTAAAGTATATTATATTATTATATTCATAAAGTATGTCAAATACGTGTAACTCTCGAGTTAATTTAGGTAAATAGTATTAGCATCTCCTAAACTCTCGAGCTTTAATAATTGAAAATCGAATGTGTGCTTAAACGGTTGGTAATGACTGGTTTTTACATTGAATTTTATAATTTCAGTTTACAGCGTCGACTTTTGAACTGTTGATTACGGTTGGTTACACGTTTCATATGATATCAAAGGCTAAGGTGAAGTTACAGCAGATTAAACTTTGGATGACAAACAATAAAAACACACCAGGAAAACCGATGAATCTTCGTACGCCGTTCCGTCGTCGGGCCACTGAGGTCAGGCCATCGGTTGCCGTACCTTCAGTCGATGTCCAATCGAATTTTTTCGCTGTCTTGAAATCCGAACCCGCCAAGACAAAACTGTCGACGAGCAACAGCATCTCGGACGAGGGTTTCGAGTCCCTGGTATTGGGAAGTTCCAGCAGTAAATGACTATTTTTGTCTCCGACTCTCCGTGTACATTATACCACTTGTGTGTTTTGTGTTTATCGTTGTGGTATATATATATATTTTTGATAGAACTCCTTTGTGTCAAGCGATATATTAACACATTGCTTTGTGTAATTTATTAACTATAATTTATACTATTATACAAGAGCTGAGATGTGTTATTGATCACATAGTGTTTTACGTTTATTCATTTACTTATTTGACTGAGAAAATTCCAACAAAAAAAAAAAAAATGAATTTATAGTTTAAAAGACTGCAAACGAGTTGTGTCCCAAATACAGAGGTGTGGCCGTAAAATATACAGGTACATTCATAAGTTGTATACATAAATTGATACATTTTTCAATTACAATATCACACATAAATTATGTATATTACATTTTACACAAGGATAAAAATTGTTCCGTTATATTTATTTATAATAGTAATTAGTAATTACTATTATAAATAAATTTTTACTAATACTAATTACCATATAGTATCTGTATATAATATTAATAATAATAATTATAAGTATTTACAAAAATAATAATGTCTAAAAAAGTATACATTTGTAAGTAATAATTATCGTAAACGTATAATGACAATATTTGTAGCTCCTTGCACACCTTATCTCTACACGACAATAATAATGGGCAGAATCGACTTTTATTCGGTAAGTCTTATATAGTATACCTAGGTACCTATTTATACAACAATATAATAGACAGATTTCTGGATTTGAATTTGTACAAACATTTTTATTTCAAGTTACCAAACAACATATTATATCCTTGTGTATAATATCGATTTAAATTTATTTCATTTTTAGGGACACAACTTCGTTAACTGCGGTTTAAAATAGTTACATTAGAATTTTATAAACAACACAGGTATCAATCGTTGAAAAAAAGAGCAAAACTCCGAGATTTAATGAGACTCCATGCTCGGATGAGATACAGGAATAGGTAAATTATATTGCTGTACTTGAAACCGATGTATCGTTGTTCTCGAAAAAACAATTCTAAGTGAAAGAGGTTAAGTGGATCAGTTTGTATTTTTAAAGATGGCTGCTATTTTGTGTTTTTTTAAATATATATCTTAATTTAAACTTGTGCTTTTATTTTTTTACTTTTTAGACTGAGTAGTTAACTAATAAAATAAAAACGATGGCAAATTTAATCATGTTTGATCGACTGTTGTGATTAAGTTTATAGAAATTTATCGCAGCCAAAATGCCTATGAGATATAAGCAACAAAAATGATAAAATCTGAGACATGTGAAATCTCAAAAAAAAAAAAAATTAATAATTCAATTTATTGTTTATGTAAGCATTTGAATATTTTTGATTATTCTGCCAAAAGTATTCAAAAAATGCGAAATTAAAGATTAGTAATGACTAAAATATGGATTATTTAACAATAATAATTTATTTCACATTTAGACCAACGAAAATTGTATTATAACTCAAAAAAAAATTTTGGACAAAACCTTTAAAAATAGTAATTCAAGTAAAAAGCAATTAGAATATACAATACAAAAC